TTATTAAAAAACGGTCGTCAACGCCATGAAATGAAGCATATTTTTGATAATTTAACGGAGAGGAACTCTCCTATTTGTAAACCATATCAAAACTCCTCTGGGGAAAACAGTTACGTCTACCTGATACCTGCAAACAACAAAGGATTTCATATAACCTACAAAAATTCTCCGTATTATCCATTGCTGCAAACCTGTTTCTTTCTCTCCCGGTTCAGTCCTCTTCGCAGGATAACTGCATGACTCAAATGAAATAAACCAGTAGGGCCCAGTTGTTCAAAAGCTGGATAGCACTCTCCACCGCGGATAAATTACTAACCAGTGGATTAGATGAGAAGTAGGGAAACTAATCTATATGTTATCCACCCCAGAGGGATTTATTCAGTTAATAGCGCTATCCACTTTTTAAAAAACTGGGGCCTGGTTAAGCCATATTTAATTGAGTAGATGAAAGAAGAAGGCCTCTAAAGTTTCAAGTGCAGTGTCGATTGCATTTTATTTCACTTCTTCAGACCCTTCAGTTTCGCGGTTTCAATCTGATTCCACTTATCACGTTAAGAAATATTACAAAATACAAAAATAAATACTTATTTTACTTGCTTTTATTTGGAAAATAAATAATAAAAATTGGGTTTGACAGCTGTGGATCAGTGGAAAGGGTAAATTGGACCATTCATTCGATCAGACCTATCAAATAAGCTTTGATCTAGCCATCTCATCATTCAATCTGTTTTTACTTAGACAGCGTTTTAATAATGAAAACAAAGTTTTGAAATTTCTTGAATTTAGAACCTTCAATGTTTTCTAGCACGGCAGGGTCTCTAGACTTTTTATTATACGCCTTGCAAAACAGAGGAAAAACAAAATATGTTAAAACATATTGAAACAAATATGTTCAAACAATTTAATCTCAGAGAAATAATAATAAAAATAATAAATATTATGAATCCATGTCTGCCATTTGTGGTAAAAATGTGCCATAAGATAAAATAAACAAAGAAGAAGCGTTACGGATATAAAAGGTTTTTTCGGACGAAAAGTCATTTTGTGTAACAGGTGTACCGTGTTGAACTGTACAATTTAAGGAATAGAAAGAAATCGTGTGAACGTGCGGAATTGCTTGCAAGATTTGTTTACAGGAGACAAGAATATCAGCGAAAACAGGATGGAAAATTATCAGTCTTTTATCACTTCGAATAATAACCAACTAAACGTCTTAATTTCCCCCTACTTTGAAAAACGCCTATGTATTAACTAAAGACGAAAAAAATAAACTTGCAAAGTTTCTTCCAGTTTTTAAAAGTACAGATGTTGTTATATTCTTAAGATGGTTTCCTAAAGAGGCAATCATTGTTCTCCAAAGGGCTTTAAACGTAAATTGCTTGCTTAAGGCTATACTTAATGTCCCTAAAAACCTCTTAGCGCGGGTATAACATCAACTTAATTATTGTTTACCTGTTAAACTGTGAAAACATGAGAAAATGAAACTAACTAATATATAATTTATATAATTTGTTCCTGTGGAGACAAATCGTCAAATGGACCCAGAAAGAAAGGAGCTTTTAATAACAAAAAGGTGATCGATTACTTGAAACAAAACCCCTTTTTAGAAATAGCTTTATTTCAGTGACTAATGCCTTTCTAGTTGTCAGAAATCTTTTGTGTAACAAACGGGTAATTACGTCAGCAATAAGGCAGATGCAGGTTTATATCTGTAAGACATCTAAAGTTGTGTTATAATTACAGACCTAAATTATCTGATCGCGTATCTAACAGAGTCATATTTTCGATTTTATAGCCCATGGTACTTCTGCCGACAGGTCATAACGATGCGTAATTGCTTTTTTATTTCCCCCATTAATGTGTAATTACGACATATTTATCGCGTCGATCTTTGATTTTTTTTAATAAAATCCTAGTTGGTCTTAAGTTGGATTTAAGGCCGGCAGCCAGTGAAGAAACTAAAGAAATGGACTTCAAAGAATCAGAGCGTTATTATCACGGCTATATTTTCCTCCCCTGCTGTACCAAAGAATGTTATCAAAATCAGCCACACAAACTTCAAGAATATAGAAGTTTGTATCCCTCTTTGATTCCAAAGAATGAAGCCTTTTTACAGGACAGAGCAAACTCAGTTGACCAAGTTCCTCATCCGCTAAGGTTCAGTGCTTACCGAGAAGGTGGTTACCGTTTCATTTTCCCCTCCACGCAAAAAGGCCAAACGCAGTCATGTGAAATTTCCCACCAAAATGGTATTGACGTGGAAGGTCCGATGCGTACCTCATATAAGGCTGGTAAGTATATCAGTCAATCAAGGAAGAATCATACCGTCCCGCGCTGGGAAGCGCAGTTTGTGGTTAGTTGAGGAACTCTTTGAGCACGCATCTCTTCAGATGGTACAATTACATTTCTTAACTCACTTTGTTTCCAAGTGCCAGGGTCCCTTTCTCTCTTTTAAAGGCTTTAAACTGCATGTTTTACATTGCTAGTTCTTGATCTTTTCAGTAGACGATTTTTTCAAATGTTTTCTCAAACGTCGATCCCTTTTAACAGCGCGAGGATGATTTCCACTCAATATTCTGTTCAACCGTCATAACTCTTTTTCAGATTGTTTGTTCTAAAAGTTGCAAATAGCGGCTGACCCATCTTACATCACTACGTTAAACGTTGACCATGTTTTTTAACTTTTAGAAGACCAAGCGCAATATATATAATACGTTTAAATTTATCTTTCACTTCCCGCGTCAATGTTTTTAAGCTTTAATTAAGTCTTTAATTTTTACTCAACTGTGACTGGGAGACAGTGATAGAAAAATAGTAAAATAACGCATGCTGCATGACTACAAAGGTAGCAAGCTATTGAGTTCGCCTTTTTTTTTTCAGAAAGCTTCTTGAGGGTACAGAGAGACTGGAAGATCGAAGCTGGCTGCAAACCGAAGCGCAACCGCACAATCTTCACAGCAGATCAGCTAGAGCGACTAGAAAAGGAGTTTGATCGGCAGCAATACATCGTGGGCACGCAAAGGTTCTATCTCGCCGCTGATCTAGGCCTCAATGAAACGCAGGTAAAAGTTTGGTTTCAGAACAGAAGAATCAAGTGGCGAAGACAGAATCTTGAATCTTTACGCAGCTCTGCAGAAAGAAACAGATATGAGGTCGATGGAGAAGAAAGAAGACTGTAGAGCCAGGTCGTCATCTTTTCGAAGATGAATGGGCAATTACAGTAGGACAAGAAAACAAACTAAATAAATACGTTCAGTAATCTTCATTAGTATTAAGCAAAAATCAGTAATTTATAGTACTCAGCTAACTTAAAGCACGCTTTAGAAGTAGACACGAAATCCCTTCGAGTGATATCCTAACTGCATCAGTCAAGCAGTTTAACAACGCTTAATGTATGGTCAGATCATTTGAAAATAATTCACTGTTCAATGCTGCTTTTATTAATTTGCTTTGAAAACCGGTACAGAAATAATAAATGGATGAAGTCAGTACAAGCTGAAATGTCCTTTCGAGACTCCACACTGAAATATTTCAGCGACTTTTAAGAAAGGATGCCAAAAAGTTTACCACTTGATGTAAGAAGGGTGCTATACAATTGTTTTTCGGAGTTTTACCATTTCATGGCTTTTTACCTAGGGCTCATGGGTAAGGTGAAAAGAAAGCGAGAAAGCACAAATAAACGGGAGGGGGATAGTACCCTTATTATTAAAACCGATATGAACTACGTTTTTCCCTGGGGGGTGGTGGGTAGGGAAAAAGCACGGGTAAACGGCGAGAGGGATAGTACCCTTATTAAACTGATATGAATTACGTTTTCGCTGGAGGGGGGGGTGGTGGGTAGGGAGAAAGCACTAGTAAGCGGGGGTGGGGGACAGTACGCTTATTACACTGATATGAATTACGTTTTTCCCTGGGGGTTGGTTGGTAGCGAGAAAGTACGAGTAAACGGGGTCGGGCCAAGCCCTTATTAAACTGATATGAATTACGTCTTTCCAGGGGGGTGGTTGCAAGCGAGAAAGCACGAGTAAACGAGGAGGGGGGGAGTACCCTTATTAAACTGATATGAATTACGTTCCAAAATATAACATTTATGAGATTAAGACTTTGTTCGCACCACAAAAAGCTGCCTGGTGTAGTAGGAACAGCAGCGGCCCGAGGCGGTACAACTCGTTCACACGCATCGAACATCGTGCCTGTGCCTAAATATCCCACGTTCGATATATTAAAATTCTAACATTGCTCCGATGCTGTAGGGACAAAATTGCAAATTTTTCAAGACTCCATTGTCTTGCAATTCCCGGAAGAGACTTGAGCACAAAGAAAACCAAATCAAATGTAGAAAAAATGACCAGAAAGCCTCGGAATCATGTTAGAATTTTAAGATATCGAACGTGGGCTATTCCAGTATTCACCCTTGAATCAGTTACCTACGTCACAGTGGGTTCCAGTCCTCGCTACAACTTATTTACTTCCACGACGGGCAGAATAATTGTTCACACTGCAACAAAGTATGGCACAAAACCTCTCCGATATGTGACTTTCTACTTTCGAGATCAGCGCGGCTTAGCTTCGCTCCGTCACAAAAATCACGCCGCCACAACCGTTCTTGTGTGTGATGAGAAGTCCTATCGGGTATGATTTTAGTGCCGGCGCAAACGTAATCTGGCTTAGTGAGAACATAGGTTTTATTTTATGCATTACGAAAGTCGAAGAGGACTCGCGCAGTTGTAGTTAACAGCAACACAGACAAAGTAAAAAAACTTTGACAACTTTTAATTCTTTATCGCTTTCACCCAAATTTAACTGAAGTAAGTTTTTTTCTGTAAATTAACTCAACAAACGGTAAAAAAATATGTACGTGGTTTAAATTTATTTACATTTTTTCACTCTTTCCTCTTTCACGACTTTCAACAGTCCGTTAATCTCAAATGTGTCTTGAGAGTACATTCGTATGGTGTGCTTCACTGAATCAAAACCTGCTGGAATTATTTTCTGATATTTATTCCTCTTCATCACAAGCATGGGCTCAGTTAGCTTGGAGCTTTTATCATCCTCTTTCTCCAACTCGCTAATTTCAAATCCATAACGTCATGGCTGCCAATGTAATACCCAACAGGGCTTTGAAACCAAGGTGAAAGTTCTTGCTACAAAGACCTCCCCCACGAGCAGTAGGAGGAGCACCAGTACCCTCCCTGACTGGAAGAACATTAGCCCTGAATGCCTTCTCGCCAACGAAGTTTCCAGCGGGGGAGTACCGGATAACTAATACAAAAGATCCATCTCTTCGTGTTGCTTGTGCCGCTCCTATCTGTTTTGTGTTTTTCCACACGATCTAAAATAGAATTATTAAGTAAAGAATTATGAATCGAGTGGTTTTTGTTTAATCAAAATAGGCCTTTCCCTATTGCGCGTGGCAACGTTTGAGCACTTTTTCGACTTTGGAGCATCATTTTGTATGCATTTCGAACACCCTTAGGCACCTTTTCGTATTTGAGGCCATATTTGAACGATTGTTATTTCCTATTTTGAGCAAAAATCGTTTTCTAAAACTTTTGCGTTGTTTACACAGTCGAGTGACGGAAAGACACGTGGGCTTGTCCTTCAGTAAAAGCGTTAGAACAGAAGCTTCTGATAAGTAAAGGCTGGTTAGCATTTCACAACTTACATTACGTTACTTTTTTGAGCAATTTTTGTGCACCTTTTTTTAGAATTCAGTTTTTGCTTGCCCTTTTAAGAAAGGTTAAGGCGCGCCATTTGCTATCCTTTTAATAAGCTAAGAGGTGTCTACGCATCTGCAGTTGACTTCCAAACAGTCCAAAAATAATGGTCCAGAGTTGTTGTTTCAAACGATATCTAGGCATTGAAACTGTTTCCTGTCGTCTCTTAAAACAGATGGCAAAGATGCACATGGATTGAATTTTAATTAACTTTAATGAATTTATATTAATTTAATTTATATTAATTTATTAACCATAATTATTATTGTTAATGCTCCTGGTAACTTTTGTTAGATATCTACTTCATAACTCTACAAGAGCATTTTGTTTATGGGTATTATGGCACTAAGTAATGACCTAAAACAGCAATATCCTCGTGACATAACCCCTTTAAAGTGGATTGTTTTGCGAAATCAGAAGTGACCAAGTGATCAGAGCTTAAACTAAGCTGGAAATGTGGGCGGGCTTCCATGGGCTAGACTCCTCTTGAGAACTCAGACTTCATGACATCACGAATAGTACATCATTCTTTCCAGTCATGTGCATAATGATGTTTTATGATTTGATAGATCCCTCTGTCTCACTTAGCCTGCGAGCAAGCTCTCCGGGAGGCTCTGGCGGCGGGGCGGGAAAAATTGCTTGCAGCTATGTCTCGTTAGCTCTGGAATTTGAACATCTGCATCGAAAAAGTCGATGACTAGATGACTCTAGTAATGACGTTATTACCCTTGGCACCTGTTTTTTAATGTTAGTTAAACGTAACGTTAACGTAACGTAAGTTACGTTCGCGCTCGTTTCCTCTTCGCCCTGATTTGGAGGAAATCAGACAGCTCAGTCGATAAGAAGACACAGGGGAACTGGAGGTGGAATTCAAATTACAGAGACGTATTTGCAAGCGTAGCTCTCCTTCCTTTTCCTGCCCCACCGCCAGAGCGCTCCGGAGAGCTTGCTTCACTTGTTATCGTTATAACAGAATGGCAAAAATAAACTGATAGAACTGTGAAAATTAAAAAATTCACCAGCACACGAAATAAACTAAGAACAATTTTATACGTATGTACAGAGCCAAAAGGTTAATCCCTCTGAACCCCGTTTGGTCAAAAATTGAAAGTCTATCATAATAGCCACGTGTATATTTTATGCACTGTGTTTTTGTAACCTCATTTTTCGATTTTGTCAAAAATAATATTGAAATCAAATTTTAATACCTTACCCGTGCACTTGGTTGAAGATCTTTATTGAGCCGTGACATTATAAGCCGGATTTACAAGTCAGTGCCCGTAAGTCCCGTATATCACATGAATACGTAAAACAAAAGACGACACTGACCTATAATCGGGTCTCAAAAGTTAGTTTACCTGGGTAAAATGTCCCGTTTTGAGAGAAAATCCCGGCTTATCATAGTCATAATATTTAACTTCTCCGTAGAAAGCTTTCGTAGCCTTGGTGCAAGGCTCTTCTGGTTTGTGTGAAGACCAGTAGAGATTTTCACCCACGTTAAGATTCGGTGCATGTTGAAACAAATTGTTAGCTGCTAAGTACTTGGCCCAGTCGTCCGCGCCTTTGGCAAGGTCATCATTCCACGTGACTTGACCAACCTAGAACAAAAGTTTGAGATTTGATCGTGATTGGCTAAGAATTTTCTCGACACTTCGACTGACAGCCTTTTCCATGTGATTACTAGTGCGTAGAGAGTTGGCGAAGAATAGACTGTCTGAACTCCTCGAACAGGCTAGAAAATTTAAAGTGAAAACGAGCAAGTTGCTCACTTAAAATGACATAATTTGGTTGACCATGATTCAAAGTTAACCTTCATTCAAAAACTTTTCAGCAAAAACAATGGTTTTTCTAATATATTCCTTTGATTACCTGGTGTTTAGCGCGGAATTCGTTGTGCCACTTAACACACTGTTCTTTAAATGGAAGAGCGGCGTCCACTTAGAAATAAAAGAGCATTTCACAATTAGACAAGCTTTTGAACAAATATAAAACGACAAACCTTGGTTGTTTAGTTAATCTAACTGGCAAATGGTCAGTCAAATGGCAAAACGTTCAGCACGCAATAAAACTATAGATGATTATTCAATTTATTTATTATTTGTCATTGTGATTTGCATGTTGGTACTTGTTCTCTTCTTCCCCTTTGTTGTCATCCCAGATATCTTTCCATGCATGATATACATCTACCTTCCGGCTCATTATAAATTATTATTTTCAATATTTACCCGATTATCAAGAACCGAGAAAATCGACTATAAACTGTTATCAATTTTGCAATCTGCTTGCCTAGTTTTTAGGTGAATACATTTCTTAATTATTTCAACTTACCCTTTGTAAATGTTAATACATTCAGCACGGATAAGAACAAAATTAAAAAGCTCTGCATCGTGTATCAACGAGTCTCTCCGAGAAATTAGCGTTTTCTGTGGCTTTTATCAAATATTTTTTAGTAGCCTAATATCGCTGATTCACAGTGTTTGCAGCAATCAACAATATTGGCACATATATAGAGAAGGAAATTGAGGTAATCGTGTTGAGTGATGCGAGTTAAGTGGTCATTCACCGGAAGTTTCGGGAGAAACCACAGTTGCAGAGTACTGATTATAAAGTCACGTGAAAGATATCGGAAAAGTGTCCCCCGACTATTTCCATATTAGGAAACAGTAACCAGTTTTAAACGATCGAAATCTTCGTCACTGCATCGTGGTTCACTATATATGTGGGATAGCCGGGAAAGCCCTTTTTGCGTAGGAACAAAATCGGGTCATTCGATCGCAGTCATGTCGTCACTGTTGTGGTCTGAATGACCGGAATCGAATTCCTTGGTAAAATCCTTTCTTGTGTGGCTCAAACTCGGGTATTCAGTTTTAAGTATTTGTCAATTTTTCTTCGGGAACTTGAAAAATTGCCCACAGTCAATGGAGACTTTTAGCCGGTACAAAAGCCGGTATGCGCGTGCCCATCGCCTGGCCCCGACATTTGCATACACTTTCGAATGAGACTGCAAGATCTTTGTTTGTCTTGCCCTAGCCTGCCTAGCTGGCGGACTTTTCGTCCTCTCGCAAGTGACGTTTTAGCGGTGAAAGCGAGCGCCGTGACGATCCCGCCAGCTACGCAGGCAAGTCTTGCCCTAGTGTGTTTCTTGCGATTTGTACCACCTGACTTTCCAGCTGCAAAGGGCGTAATGACTTGAGGTCAATTAAGATTTAAAAAAGAGGGGTGAACTTCCAACGGAATATCCAAACCGGTAAAACAGCTAGTAGCCGAAAAAACAGTACGTTAATTTCATGTCACAGGCCTCCTGAGAGCTCCTGGTGAGTAAATCCTGTTCCAGGTAATAAATGTTGCAACTTCGTCTCCAGGGCACTTTTCCTTGGTTTGGAGGTGGGGCGGGCCAGGCCAAGCAAAGCGACCCTCTTCATCACCACATTTTTCTGCCACGTTCTCTCTTACCACAGTTCACACTACTTCAACAAGAGCGTTCGATCTTTTGACTCTTTGGGGAGGCGGTGACGATCGACCTTGGTGAGCGCACACGTCCTCGAAATCTCCCTCCCCCCCGAAATGTACAAATATGTACAAATTTGTTTATTTCTTTATGTATTTGTTTACAAAGCTGGTTATTTTGTTCGCTGGTTTAAAAGGATTAAGTACACAAGTTTCCAGATTCACTCGGCTATAGGCAGCAGGCTTCAACCTTCAAGGGAAATGAAATCTATGAAGCGCAGACAGTCAAGTTAGTGTTCCTTCAGCTCATAAGCACATCCATATAACAGTGTCTGTGCATGGGTAGCGTAGTTCTTTACCTTTGATTCTAGCCCTCAAATGCTGAAGTGTTGTAAAATGCATTATTATTATTACTATTAAAATTATTATTATTATTATTGTTATTATTGTTGTTGTTATTGTTATTGGGTTTATTAAAAGTTTGATATAGTCGACTCCCGAGAACTCGACCCCTCGCTAACTCGAACCTGTTCCTAACTCGAACCAAAATAGATTTCGCCTGGATTTCCGTCATACATTCACTGTAATTTTACCCTCGGTAACTCGAACCCTCGATAACTCGAACTCCCGCTAACTCGAACCAATTTTCGTTTCCCCTCAGCTCATTTTCTATATAATTTTACCCTCGATAACTCGAACCATGTTTTGAGCCCTTAAAAAGTCGGGAAAAAAGCCGTCTACGGGCATCCGAAACATTGAATTTTGAATTTCCTGTTGACATGTTGTAGGAGTGTGGTTTACTATAAATGGAGGCTGATGTCGATTGTCACAGGCCTAGGCTAACCAGTGAAGCAGCTTTTCTTCTCAAAACAGTAAAACGCATGCTCTATTCAGGATGTGTTTTGTTACGTTACGTTCTGATTTATAATTTAGAAGTATCTTTTAATTTTCACTTGACATTTCTGCGATTAAATGTGATCAAAATTTTCACTGTGCAGTAAAAAACTGTTTTTTACGTTACTCTCGGCTATTTTCTTCGAACTACCGATAACTCGAACCTTTTTCGATTTCCCTTGAAGGTTCTAGTTATTGGGAGTCGACTGTATTTAGGATTTTACCCCTGGTCATTCTGCTTGATATGAAAAGGCTGTTTGACGGTATTTCAGTGAAGTTCCTGACAAAATTTGGGTCCACGTGACATAACAAAACTTTCATGACCCCCCCCCCCCCCCCCCCCCCCCCCCCCCCTACTCACAACATCAAACACCCCCCCCCCGACCACACCCACACATCTCCCCCCCCCCCCCACCCCCATTAACTATTTTTAAACTGTAAAGACCCTCCCAAGGAGGCACCTCGAACGGTTCTGCCCCCTCCGCCCAAAGGATAAATCAAGATCAACACTCCCTAACTAGCAAGAATGAGTCGTAGACTAATTGGGCTTGTGGCCAAACGTTGTAGATGCTTTAAGCTTACCTCTGAATAGCAAGGATAATGTATCGAGTATTATTTTGTCGGTTCACTCAGACGACGTAATCTACAACTGTCATAACTGCTGCGTATATAGTTTTAGCACAGGGCGCCCACACAATCTGTTTGTATAGCCGATTGTTATTTTATAGTAAATGTACTGGATTTACCGTTTGCTTCACCTATAGCGATATATCGCTATAGGTGAAGCAAACGGTAAATCCAGTACATTTACTATAAAATAACAATCGGCTATGTTTATTTATCATTGATTTATATACATAGTTAGCGATATATCGCTATAGGTGAAGCAAACGGTAAATCCAGTACATTTACTATAAAATAACAATCGGCTACACAAACAGATTGTGTGGGCGCCCTGTGGTTTTAGCATGATCGAGTATACAATGTTTAGCACATTTTAATTTTAAGCAGCAGTGTGAAATTAAATATTTTAAATAAGAATATCACTTACCTTTGCTGTTTGAAATAAGGTTAACAGCTGCAATCAAGACGAACAACATAACCTCCATTGCAAAAATCCAACAATACGAACATGAGACATTTCTGTCAACAAGTGTACCCCTCCCCCACAAAATTGTGGGGGATGGGGTGATCGTGGTCAATAGAGGTCAATTAACTGTGCCTCACTGGGACAGGGTCAGATAACCATGACCAGGTATGACTGGTATAGTAATGGGCTTATGACATGGTATAGAATTTCATGCGAGCTTCTTCTAATACCAGCTTTTCCTAACCATTGACTTAAATTTTTCAACAAGGAACAACTTGTACAGAGTGTATATTTTGGACATTTTGTCCTTTCTAATTGTGTCAAACATTTGTGCCAAAAAGGGCTCAATTGAAAACGGATGCTTTGTACTATAGTGTCCAGCCTGCGTTGCAGACGTTGGAAAGGGACAGGCAGGAATCCCCAAACGCCTGCAACGCATACCACCTATAAAGGCCAAAAGTTAATTCACTTTTTTTTTTTTCGTGATATATTTGTTCAATGAGAGTGTATGAATAAGGAAAGCAAGGCCCGACCTAGCCTGTGTTCGTGCCCTCCATATATCTCTATGATATCTGTATATAATGTCTCCCCGCTCCCCCACCAAAAAAAAACTGAAGAGAAAAATTGTGGGAGCTGTCAGGAGCATGGGCTCCTGGAGCTGTGAAAAAAAATCCCGTAAGCTTCTAGCATTCACTATTTTCACCTAGACCATATTGTTCCTTGTTTACCCCCTCAAAACTTTGGTTAACCATTGTTTTGGATTTCATCTTGGGGCTACTGTAATACCCAGGAGAAATTGGAGACAATGTTATGCAAAATTCTGGGGGATAAACAAGGTGCATTATGGTCTCTGTGTGTAGAGATGATTACCTGGACGAGAAGGACTAGGGCGAGTGTTGCACTATGCAAATGAGCGGAAAATTCGAAATTCGTTTTGTTCAAAGTTGATGTTCCCTTCGAAATGAAAAGCTTTTGTAGTTTTTAAAGACGAATATATCGCCCCAAATTTCAAATGTCAAAGAAGCCTGCTCTTATTAAGACGTATGGAAGACACAAATATCGAACTGTCAAGGCGCAAACCTGGCTGTCGCCCGAAGAAGCAGTTTATTCGCCATTTGAAAATCGAGAGCAACAAGCTTTCCCCTCCAAAATCGAATCTGCGTCTTCAAATTTTTCAAGGCCAAAGACAACTTTATGGTAAGATTATATCTTAAATATCTCGAAATCCTTTTTTATTCTATCTAGAACTAAGCTTATCATCGCAATGATAAGTTGTCCCCACTTTTTTGGCGAGAATCGTGGACTAGTCTGCCGAGTAATTTTTGACCAATTTATAGTTGTAGGTATGCATCGTCATATCATTTCTTGACATTTTTTGTTTTTATTCTTTAGGGGCAAAACTGCAAAAAGGGCTACAATTTACCAACAAAAACCAAGGAATGCACAAAATGGTATATTCACTAGATCTTTAGCCCTGAATTCCAATGCTGATAATTCAGACAAAGAAAACAGTCCATCAAGACAGCTGGGTACAGGTCTCAATGAACAAAGTTCCATTCTAGTTAATGATACTGTAAAAAGTGACATTCTTGCAAATGACACTTTCGAAAGCAACGAAGATAGCAGTTGTCAAATTTTAGGGGAAGTTATCTGTGTTCAAGACAGTAAAGAATGTAGCATATCACCTGACTGCAGATCACACCACAAAAATTCTTTTACACATTTTAAATGCAACAGTTCAAGCAACAGTTTCCCTGGAAGCATCTTTGATGTTAGTAATGTGTTATATAATTCTAACACAAGTCCCATGGACATTGGTTCTAATGGTTTTGAAAATAGGGACGGTAGTAGCTCGAAAAGTAACACCTCAGGATTTGATAGACATCAACCTTATGTCACTTCAACACCTTTGTGTGAAAACAGTTCTCTTGAGGTAATTATTAGACGTCCAAGTAAGTCAAATAACAACAAGGTCAAGTTTTTGGATGGTAAAGTTGTGTTAAAGCCACTCAGAATAACTCCAATTCAGTGGAAAAAACGTTTGTCTGCAACATCCAATGATAAAGCAGAGATAAACAAGAACAGTGTTCATACACCATCGAACACAGATCAAAATACAGAGCATTTGCAATCTTCAGGGAGAAGTGCTAGTGGTAATTTCTCTTCAGAGTTGGTGGTTTCTCTCGAGAAACTGAGGATTACGCCTTTGAAAAAGAAAAGAAAAACAGAGAAGTGTCAACTTTCATTTGTGGTAAGCAGTTCAATTGAATAATAATATTAATTTTTATGGACAAAACACTTACTTACGTGATTAAATTTGGGATCATGCTGTGCAATAACATCCAATCTGCTGTCGGTTTCAGAAAGCTGTTTTGAAAATTATTGGACAACAGATTTGTAAATTAATTGCCCCTTAGATGAAAAGCTGACCGGCAATTTAAACCATGGGTTAACTTATTAAAGCTTTGGCCAGCGTTTGATGGTAATAAGAACAGGACTATAACAGCCTGCAATGTCATTTGGTATCTTTAAATCGTAAAGAAATGCCTTCTTGTAAATGAAGAGTATTAAAGTTGTCTTTTATCATTTGAGTGTTCCATATGGAGAGGCCAATTTCGTTGCATATGACTTGGCTAGTTTGATTGGTGTTGCTTGATGCAAAGGTTTTTTGGAGGTTACTGCGTCAGCATTGTAGTATGGGCATTGTTGTCAATTTTTATAGGCCCATAATGCAAGGGGCTTTTATATTAAATTGTATGTAGATCACTGACTAAAATATGAGTATAATTATTACTCTAGCAGGAGTGAACTTTGAACAATACAAGAATAGTGTAATGAAGGGTATATTTTTTTTGCATATTAATAAATATGGATGGTGATTGCACCATCAGCAACACTACAGGGATCAGCAAAACCTAGATCGGAGCTGATCAGATGAACTTCAACTGACAGTCACTCACTGACATGTATTGGGTCTAGAGTGGTTGACCCAAACTGATCTGATCCATGATGTGCGGCAGTTGGTTTAACACTCTTATTACTATATAAATTGAACCCAACAAACTGACCTGCGCCCAATGTACGAGTCTTTATAGCTCAGTTGGTAGAGCGCTGTAGCACTAACGCAGAGGCCATGGGTTTGAATAATTATTCCATTAAAGCCCCCCCCCCCCTTCCCCTCCCCCTTTTTTTTGTTCAGGTAAATTTGTAATTGCTTTGTTGTTTAATAGTAACACAACTGTGACTATCATTATATCTTCATTGAAATACTCTTATTACCTATAAACTTAAGGAAGCATTGACTCCTGCTAAGAAGAACCAAAGTGGCCATGGGACTGTCGATCAGTTGAGTGCTTTTGACAAAGTATTGGCTGAATGTGATCAAGAAGCACCAGTTAAATTTGCAGATTTTCTTGACTCCAGGTACAGTTGCATGTATTTATTAGAATTATTCATTCTGCGACTAGCATTGCATTGAATGAAATTTATCACTTATTTATCCCCAATTAACTTTTATCTGACTGAAAACCTAAATTTGTTAGTTTTCTTGAGGCATAATGTTTTTACAGTGGACACCAAATGAGTGGCTTGTTACAACTAAAAACAATTATCTTGTACTTTTTGCATCTTTGATTAAATTGTGATACTGTTAGAATGGTTGATACCATATTCTAGTCTGATGTTGGTAAGCCTGATACCGTGAGGCCCCAGTCTGATGAAATTCATTTGGGACGAAAAAACAAGAAGTCTTTTGTCAAGGCTTCATCCTTTAATACCCCGTCCATATTGCTGTTTTTGAGGTACGTCAACATTCTATTAGGATTCCATTGTAGATAAGACAGCTTTTGGCTTATCTTGAGATGGCTGAAATTAGCTAATTCTTTTCGCAGTTTGCTGGAGAGTTGTGTTAAGATTGGAGAGGGAGTTTATGGTGAAGTTTTTAAAGCACAGTATGAAAATGGGGAGTCTATTGCACTCAAGGTAGTAGCATTTGTAGCTTCCATAACAACAGACTTTATATTTTGTGTGCTTTATTATAGTCATTATAAAAAATAAATATAATCATGAGACAATGAGTTTCATGTGTAACTTTTCAAATCTTCACTTATGTAAAACCCATCTTTTTAAACTTGCTTTTGTCACATTGTATGTAGTAATGTTTTTAACCATATCATGTAGTATAAAGTGTTTTATTTATATTTTTAGCTAAAATTACTATGTACATTTGAGCTTTTATTTGCTTTTTAACATTTATAGACTGAATTGTCACGTACTTTTGATCATATTCACATAGAAATTTGCATTTTTTTAGATAAATTTTTACTTAAGTTATTATTACTGACGTTAATTTTAAATATGTCACTGTTGTAAGTTGCAATCTTGAGTCTATTAATTCACCAACCATTCAAAGCATCTAGCATCGTGAGGTGTCTCATAGCCATTTGCCCTCATTGCCTGAAGAAGAATATAAATAAGCAGTGCAAATGTTGCAATCTACATTGCAAGTGACTACTTACCTACAGCTGTTGTACTGCTGACATGAAGTAATGCTGAACTTCTCGAACTTTCCTATAAAAATATCTTGCTCCTTTTGTATATCAATCTTAGATCATTCCAGTGGAGGGAGATTTTCCAGTAAACGATGAACCCCAAAAGTCTTTTGAGGAAATCCTACCTGAAATTGTGATTTCCAAGTAAGTCCTCTTTCCATCTGATATTTCAAAATTATCATTATGTTTCCGCAACAGTGATACAAAATGCAACATTCTTTAACATTTTGTTAATATTTTGCTAGGGAGCTGAGCTTACTTGGAGATGCTAATGAACAGGTGAGTTTTTTTGGTGAAGGGGAGCTGGGAAGGGAGAATTTCAACTCCTTACTCTCCACCCCCACCCCGACAGTTCCTATCAGTTTGTGCATTGCAATCCCCTCCATGGCCATTATTTACTATTTAACCTTTGTTTGTTTGCGTTTAAACAGGATCAATCGGTAGACAACATATCTGGAAGTTTCATAACAGTTCACAGGTTGGAGAAATTAAACATTTTTCTATTCGTAGGTGAAGCTAACCAGAAATACTTGTCTCGCAAAACCTCGCGCTTCCCAAGGCGAATAGGAAAACCCAAGTATATGACCCATTTCGACGGGGACAACAAAGGGCTGCCTTTGGCAGGAGCGCAGCGTCCATAAACAGTACTCCCATGCGAACAGCCGATGATTTTTATCATTTAATCGGGATGACTGATAACTTTTTTGCATTTCATTGGTGTCTTTGTGTTAGTATTTCCTTTATCCTTTTTATATTATTCCACAAAATACGGCAAGAAACGTTATGGGGTGAAAAACTTAAAAATGTGCCCTTCATTGACCCCTCCACAGCATTTTCCTTGGCGTTTATTTGGTGAAAATGTCCAGCAAAAAGGCGGGATATGGCATTTCGGGGACCCTAACTTCCCTAAATTTGCTGAAGAAGTATGCTCCCACACTCCCTCTCTAACTTTTCTTCCCGTGCGTACATCCTCCAAATCTGGCTGGGTGACCAGCCACAATCATCAAGCATATTTCATTATTTTCCACCGTCGATGAAGAATAAACGGCAAGTTCGCGCACAGCCTCACCCATCAAAAAAATGCCGAGGCACAAAACTGCAACCAGCCTTTTAATCTAATGGCGGGGAAAAGGGACTACTTCATTGTGGGTTCAAAAGTGTAAACGAACTCCAACGTGATTGCTAGTACAAAAAAAAATGATTCATGTGCTAGTGCTTGAGCTTATGTTTTGTACGTCCAAACCGTTGTCAAGGTGAAATAGGCTGTGGTTAATATGATAGACTGCGCGCAGGCTCTTTTATTTGAGTCACAGTAGATCATTAAAGCACGCGAAAGGAACGAGGGCGGAACGGGAAGCCCACCCAATCTCTCCTCCTTTTAACAGTTGAATTTAATCTTACTTTTTCGCTCGCCGCGCGTGGCTCTTAGGGAAGAAGGACGACCATTCACGGTCCTTGCTTTAGCTTTAATGAGGGGGTAACTGAGATAATATAGCGAAAAAAGTTCATAGTTCGCGGCGTTTCTGTTGCTTTATCTCCAGCTGGGTGAGCTTTTCAAGTCAAGTTGTATGATCAGTTTCTTTCGAGCCTTCAAATTGTGCCAAAAACTGAAGTGAAACTCACTATTTTCCCTTTTTTTCAGTGTCACTTGTTGCCGTGATAAATACCCGAAGCATCTTATTTCAGAATGGGACAAATGGAATGAAGAAAACAATTCAGAGAACGATAGACCAGGTTGATATTGAGCTAGAGTGCCAAACTTGCCTTGCAACTGCAACGCAGTAAACCCTTTGCAACTTGCTATACAATAATAAGTGAATTTCGGGAAAAACGTTACACTTTTTTACACTGTTCGTTTGTTCGTTTCATGTTTCTTACTTTCTTGTATGTTGAGTACCTTTTCTGTTTTATCCGCGACAGAGAACCTGCATTTTCTCGAGTTACCCTGAACAGGTTCTTACAAACCAAACGAAACTAGCAAAAATTAGGGCTATTGAGGGTCTTAAATAGGTTTTTATTTTCCGATGAAAAAAATAAAGAGGGTATTTAGAAGTGTTCAGCTCATTCCTATGGTAAAACCTGTATACCATCACCATTGCAGTTGGAGTAAGTAGGCATCTATGTCTCCAAAGAGGATCCTGAATGTTGACTTATCTTATTTGCCTAAGTGTACATGATTTTATAGATTTAAAAAGTAAGAACCTGTTTCAAATTCTAGGCTGAACAGGTTCTTGTATTTGCCTAACTGACAAATTTTATCCTAGCAGGTTCTTAATAACCAGGTTCTTACTGTATTTTACCACAGTTTTTTTTTAACCACCGCTCAATTCACTTCCATTTTCTACCCAGATATCTTTCCAAAAGACCAATATTTCATTGTGTTTGAATTCTCCAATGGCGGAAGAGACCTGGAAGGCTTTGAGTTTGGCGCCATGGCAGAAGCCTGGAGTGTTCTACACCAGACCGCGCTCGGTCTAGCAGTGGCCGAGAACGCGCTTGAATTTGAACATCGTGATCTTCATTGGGGCAATGTGCTGATCAGTAGGACTGAAGACGAGTTTATCGAGAGCTGCTTACTTGGGGAAAGAAAAACAGTGCCTACACATGGCGTCCGTGTTAGCTTGATAGATTTCACTCTTTCAAGGCTTAAGAAGGGTAATAAAACGCTACTCATGTTAAACCTAAAACTGAGGCCTTCGGACCTTTAAATACGTCTAGAAAACCTAATCTTCATTCAGACAAAATAAGCTAACGAATTCGAAAAGGTGGTATAATTAGGTGGTTGTTTATACTCAAACTTTTAAAATATAATAGAGACCAATCAAAACCTTAAGTTTGAGATTTGAAGACCACTACGACTACGACGACGATATTTTCGCGTATTCTCAAAAAAATAGACTCACCGAAAAGTCAACATGGTTATTTTTATTGAAAGAGTATAAGCCCTCTCCCAATTACAAAATTATAAAACTTCTAACACTTTATAACTTGTATCCGTCACTTCTACTTTTTTTGCTAAATCTCGTAGTTGAATGACGACTGCCATAGCGTTTTGCCGCCAAAATGACGCTGGTTCACGCGCGCGCACTAAGATTGAGAAAATCTCGTTCTCGTTCTCGTAGTAGTCCTAGGGGTCCTACGTAGTCCTAGCGTTAGCTTTAGATTCTGAGACGAGAACGACTACGAGTACGAGTTTTCCTCAATACTGAGTATTGCTCACGCGTGAACCAGCGCCATTTTGGCAAGGGAAATCTTTGTGCTCGAAGAGTTAAGTGTGGTCAAGTCTTTAACCTGCTTGTTGTTATGTTTTCCTTCCACTAGATGGTGTAACTGTATTTTGCAACTTGGCCGAGGACAAATCACTCTTTACTGGCAAAGGAGATTACCAGTTCGACGTGTATAGATTAATGAAAAAGACAAACCAGTAAGGGTCATATCTTTGAAACTTAACCTAAGTAGAGTTAAACCATGAGCTCATGGTTAAACCTTTCCCGAATTGAAACGTTTTCAACATGACACTGATTTCTTGATCAACAGAAATGACTGGGAAACATTTGAACCACACTCCAATGTCCTCTGGCTTCACTATCTCGCCGACAAAATGTTAAAGAAGAAGAAATACGCCGCCAAAGACAAAGACACAGAGACGAAGCTTAGGAGATTCCTAAGACAAGCGCGGAAGTGTTCTTCAGCCACGGAGATTGTCGAAGACTTTTTTCATTGAGAATAAAGACCGCTCATTAGGAGCATGAGTGGGAGAAAATATCAGTGCAGGGACCCCCCCCCCATCAGTTTAACTCGATGGAAAGGAAAAAAAGTTGTTTTGTTCGGTATCATTATATCGCTTTTCCTTTGGGCGTCAGATGGCGGAAGGTAGCTGAAGCTTTGTTGGAATACAGCATTGACAATGGCTGTTTTCTTTTTCGAATGTAATTTCGAATATTGTGTATCGTAATGTTTTGAACATACAGCTATTTCAGTTGAAGGTCGGATAGCCTACGCAACGAGACCTCATCGCTCTGTAGGTAATTTGATTAAATTGTACCAATCTCTTGCGTGAAGCAATTCTTTCGTCATAAATCACTAGGTTAAACGTTTGTGATGTTTTATACAATTCTACTTTACCGACGACCACAAAGTAATGACCGATTACCAAGGGGCAGAGCGACCCGGCATGACCTTGCGGTCTTGTTGCATACTGAGGCTGGACATAGAGGCCTCGACCACCAAAGGTCCATGTAAATAGTTGAGTTTTCTTTCTTGTGTTCGTTTTTTACTTCTGATCCGAATGAATATGGTCGTCAGAATAAGAAGTTGTTGTTTTATCCGTGTGGTGATAAGTCGGGGGATAACTTTGAGGCCTCGTAAAAGAGGGTTAGTAAGCTACCAACAGTGGACACTTAGAGACGTTCTGTTTAGGTAAGTTTTATTTGCTATGTGGTCACTTGTAGAGAACACGATAAACCTAATAAAACTTGTAAATATGTAGTTAGCCGCGTAGGAATCATTAAAATAATAATTGGGATCTAACGTTAAGTGTGACTGTGATATTACTGTATAAGATTCAAAACCATCCAACCAATCAGTTCGTGGGAAATTTGGACAAACTTTACATCGCTGGATTGTTTTTGAGCCGCGTGGCCAATTACCCTTCCTCTGGCGGGGGCGGGGCTTTTCCTTTTTCCCCCCTCGGCCAAAGCAAACCACTCTCTTGAGAGGTTTTAGGATTTCCGCCGCGAAAAGTGAGTCGTGGCAAAAACAGCCTAGAAAGATCACCTACCACCTCACTCGTCTGATTCTCCTAGAGCGAAAACCTCTTTGAACGTCTGCGGGAGACAAAACGGAATCACTTTGCACAAATCACGAAATTTTGCGGAGAACAGATTCATAACATATTTTTAAAATAAGTAAAATAATTAACGCGTTGCACTATGACCCCTGTACTGATCTTCAGAGTTAATAATGTAACCAAGCAAATCGGGATTTTACGATGGCAATTAATAAGAGAGCTCGACAAAACAGCCGATATTTCGCGACGCCACCTCTGGTTTCCTCGCGAAAGGACGTCTGAGGAACGACTGGGGAAATTCCATAATGATGATTTTCTGATGACGTGTCACTACCCAGATCTGGGTAGTGCCTTTGATTGGCCGAAGCAAATTACCCTCGCGGCACGACCAATCAGAAGTACTACCCAGAAGTTCTGGCTAGTGACAGACACGTTACCAGTATGGAATTTCTGCGTTCGTTTCACAGACGTCATTTCGCAGGGAATGGCGTCGTGAAATTTCGGCTGTTGTCTAAGGCTATTTAAAAGTGGGCGAAAAGACAACTTTGTTTAGAATTTTGCGGTGAGCTGGTGCAAGGTCTGGAAGCGATAAACTTCTCCCGAGACTGGCTCAGTGACTCGATAGGTCAGAAAGTACCAACTGCAGCTGACGCCTATTCCTCTTATAAACGGTCAATGCCACCATTGGTAACCAAGCCTTTAGTCGTGACAGATGTAATAAATTCCCTGGATTAATAAGCGATGTCCGGGTTTGAATTTGGGTTGCCATTTTCTTTCTTTTTATTAACTCAACTCACAATAACAAGTCAAAAATTTTCAAAGTGTCTTAAAAATGGCAGCGACCCTTTACGAAAGGGAAAAAAAGACACCTTTTTCTTTCTGTTATGTTTTTATGCTTCAAGGAAAATTACAATCCATGTTCAAAGTAATCTAATGGAATGTGACGTGAGTGACCACTGTCTTTGGTTTGGTGTTGTAAACTGCGGTGAGGACACATTAATCAACATATATGCTGGACGCATTAGCTGTCGAAGTTGAACCGCTGTCTCAAACCTTCGCGGCTGACGGAGACTGGCACGAGTCTGTTGCTTGGTAAAACATTTTTTACACAAACAACATGGCGCCCACCAGTGAGCATCTCTGCACTTAAACTGGTGAACGATCCTTTGGATTACTGCAACATTGAACGACGAAGAAGTAAAGCAAAGTTTTGATCGGGTGTTTACGCAGAAAGTGTATACAAATTAATCAACATGAACCATAAACATTTGTTAAGCTGCTGTGTCGAGATATTAGACTCTTTTAACCCAAGGATTCATGGTGTTTTGGAACATCTGAATTCTTGTTTAGCGACTAAGCAAGTAAGTAAAATTTTTCTCCTTTTAATTTAGTGGTACCATTAGAGGAAAGAAGTTTACAGGAAAAAAACACAATTAGAATTTAAGTCTTACATATAATTTTAAAAAATTAGGGGCTCGAAGAAAGCGACGAATCATTCGTAACAGAGGTTTTCTCAGGATGTGTGCAGTACAGCAGCATTATGAAGGTCTGTATGAATTATCTTAATTTTATGCTATAAAAAATTTTAAAAATGTTGGTTCTGTCTGAATGCTACATGTACCAGCTATATACAAGTACACTTGCGGTAAGTAAATCATTTTCTACGAGCTTTGAAAAGAAGTACTATAATTTCTGTATTAAATACAGTAGGTCATACATAAGACCTGGCGGTAACAATCAATAGAGAAATCACTCGAGATGAAAATATGTCAAAATTTTCATATTTTCAATTTGGATGTTATCAGTCATTTGGTCATCAAAACCTCAACTGACATTTTGAAACTGATCATTCGACTCAAAGAATTAAGCCACCATGCTTGTTTTTGTCATTTTTGTTGTTGTATTTTAAAGTTTGGGTGGTTTTAACTTGATTGTGCACAAGTAACCACACGTTTTATATTTGTGTTTTGATGTGATTTTTATTTAGGTTGTTGTAGATGCATTTTATGCCGAGGCTGGAAAGACTTCACTTCGTTCTGAAAGAAATGTTTACACAGGTAAGGGCAGTACTTTTATATATACTGAAAGTATTCACATCAAATACCTATTGGAAAAGTTGTTTCAAAATGCCTAGACATTATTTGGCTGCAGTCACACTTAGCACTATGGAAACTACACTACAAACAGGCATTGAAAATATTTTATCACAAATTCATCATATTTAACTTGAATAATACAGTTAAAATCTCACTCACACCTTTTGTTTCAGTATTGGCATACTTGGCACTGTACAGAATTGATGAATTAGGGATTGCACATTTCAGAAAATTTGTCTTGAGCCATGAAGCAAACAAGATGCATCGAGTGAGTCGTTTTAGTATTTGTTGCCTTTTCTAATACAGAAAACATTAACTTTTTTTTTTTGCCTTATGTACTACAATGTCTGAGGTAGGAATATGTATAGTATAGTAATTCTTAATTCATGCAGCACAACTTAGTAATTTCATAAACATTTTCTTGTTTTTGTTACCCAGTTTTTTTCATTCTTTTTCAATGAAGAGAACATCAAAACTTGGATGAAAAATGAGGTAAAAATAGTTAATAATAATTTGAAATAGTTGCTTTTTTAACTAAAAACATACATATTATTATCACATTTTATAAACCTACGCTGTATTTAAACATTGCAAAGCTGGAGAGATGGACATCTAATAGATATATTTCATGGAATTCTCCTCTCTGGAGTTACTAGTAGAAATTCATATGAAAAATAAAAGGTCTGTTGGGCAAATGAATGAGGTCTGTTTTTTACTTGTGAAAATGCCTAATTTCATGCTTTTTGGAGGACATAAACAATTTTCTATTCTTTTCAAGATTGCACTTTGATACAGTCCTTTGGGATTTATCTCCAGGAAAATTTGGCAAGATTTGACAAATTAAACAACGTGGACCAACAGCGATGAAGTTTGCAACACCACTGCATGTAACAATACATGCAGAGGTGTTGCAAACTTCATTGCTGTTAGTCCACGTTGTATTAATTTTTCAAGTGACATTCTCACTGCCATTGCTGTCGTGCTTGCTTAAGCTCCCTATCATTTAAAGGGCTGTGGGGAAATGAGTCCCCAACTGAGTCTTAATGTAAGGTTCAATTTTCCTTCTATTTCACAGGCAAATACACATTGGTATAAATTTTTCGAAGTAGATTATTCCATGCATGATGAGAAATCACTTAGGATTTTTTTCATGCATCCCTTCATGACTTTTCAGAATTTTTACAATAAATAATATTATGGTTTTTAAGGTTAACATCATTCAATTTTTTTATTATTATAACTATAATAAAATTAATTATTAATAATTATTATTATTTTGGTAGTGGTGTAAACACTATGAACACAGCTATGTCCAAACAACTCTGGTATCTCCATTGTTGAGGTGAGTGAGAGATTTAAGAAGGTCACAGTAGTATGAATTAACAAACAAAAATGTGGACAAAGTTACTGTCTTTGAACAATGATTGTCAGTCTAATTTTGTAGTCAAAATGCATAAACATGTTTGGTGATTATAGGAATGTTAACTTCATTATTTAGGTGGATGCCTGAGTTGCTTGATCTGGTGGCTGAATTAGGAGATAAATTAGCAAACAAGCAGAAGCCACGCAGACCAAAACCAGCAACAGGTTAGTGTTTGAAATGATGCTTAAATTCTTGACCCATCAGTTAAGTATGAGTTAAACACTCAGACATTTTATATCTGATTTCTAAAATATTTAATAACATAACCCAATCATGTCATCTGTTTCAGAGCCTAAACCTTTTAACTTAACAAAGCCCAGACCAAGGAGTGTTCCTATGCCTGAAAAGGTGAGCACGTCAAAAACAAATCTTTTTCAAAGCCTGACACACAGTCTGTGAGTGACCAGCTATACTCCTTAACAGGCTGCTCTTTGATTGCATCCTCCCTACTGCTCTGTCTGACTATACCAATATTGGTAAATTAAGGGGACATTACCATCTAGTCAACATGGAAGTGTCACTTGCTGTTAAACAGAAAATATTTTTTTAAGTGAGGTAAAGAATAGTCTGAAATGTCATTTGTCTCTTCCCCCCACCCTCCCTTCCCCAATGGGCGGTGAGGTGAGAGAGATGACTGAATGACCCAACATTATTAATAATGCCATCACGTGACGTCACAGAATAATTTATGCAATTATGCATAAATGTCTAGTTGGGGGCTATGAGTGACATGAGTGTGCTTTTCAAAATGGACTTTGTCAGCACCTGAACAATTATCTTGACTGATTTGGACAATTCTCCATAGTTTAAGCTTCCATAGTTTAAGCTACAGGTAACAATGGTTTGTATTCTACACCAATCAGCGTTGACTTACCATTTTTGCGAAAGTCTGTGACGACACAGGACAGCATTATAATGCTGTAAATTCAGATGTCTCTCTCACCTTACTGCCAGAGCAGGAGGGGGGGGGGGTGTTGCGAAGAGACAGATTTCAGACTATATAATAAGCTTTGCTCTTAAAACAAACATACAATCTAAACAGAGCCAACATGAGTCATCCTTGAGGCTAAATTTCTTTCCCTGGTTACTCGCAATAATACAGTTGAACTTTCACTAATGGCCACCTCTCCACAATGGCCATTTTTTGGCAGACAGTCCATACTCTCACTCTTGTTTCAACATCTCTACAACGGCCACCTCTCTACAATGGCCACTTTTTGCTGTCCACAAGGTGGCCATTGTAGAGAGGTTCAACTACTGCAAACTGAAATACATTTTTAAGGCCCCGAAACTTTTCCAGTAAAGGCAACTTGCTCCCAATGGAAGGGCGCAACCCCACCCATCTCTCCTTCTAAATTTTCCCCACATCTGTCTATTTTTCCTGATGTCTATAATTTACCAAAATTGGTTTCCTCTTTTTCAGATACCAAAATTAAAGAAGCTAAAGCCAGTAAGTAGTAAAATACATTGTACATCATCACAGTAATTTTGGTGCTTTAGTTGGGACATGACACAACACCTCTCCCTAGGAAGGAGCATGGTGTGAGAACCCAAATATCAATAATAATGTGTACAGAAAGAAGACAGAATTATTGTTAAGTAGATCAATTTTTCCCTGGTTGGGGAGGAGAACTCTAATGGAATGCTCATTAGTTAATTAAGTAAGGGGTGTAAATAGTATATTATTTAAATTACACGTAGTTTGCTGAAGATGGAATGTGTGTGATTTCACCCAATTTAGGTGCTGCTAAGGTGTTACCGTGTGTGAGGGATAAAGCAAGCAAAAATTGTAAAAAAAAGAGAGGAAAAAATGAAGAAAGCAATCACTGACAACATCCTTATTGCAATTAAAGTTACTGTTCGGTAAAACTTATTTGGCTTCTTTTTGAACGCCTTTTAGGGGTCATATAAAGCTTGAGTCATGCCCAGCTTGGACTCATGAGAATTCCAATTTTCTGCTCAATATCAGTGCCCCTTTCACAGTAGTCACCCCCGCCCAATAAGACTCTTACTACCTGTTTAATTTTCACCATTAAGCTGAATTAAGCCTTTTAATCTCACGTGGGTGATTTCAGAGACACTTTTTTTACTAAAACTTACTTCTATTTTTGTTTGTGGCAAAAATAGGTTCCTCAAAGCACATACCGAGCACCAGTTGAAGAAGACGTCATTGCTAAAATCCGGGAAGAAAATAGACGTAGAGCAGAGGTAAGACTGATGAAACAGGAATGAAAGGTTGTTTCTCTTTCTGCAAAGTGATCACCGTTCGTTTTGTCAAAAAATTATAAACGTTTATGAAAGAGTAATTTTGGAGCAATCAATTGAAATTGCAAACGGGGTGACCGTGGTCAGGAAAAGTCGAAAAATTCAAAAGCTCAGAGACCCAGTTGTCCTAATCGTTATAATTTACAGACGTTTGACTGAAGTAAACTCCCGCTATTACTTACTCTTATTCTAATGAGAGGATACTAACTCAAGGTCGCTACAGTGTCCGCTGTAAAGCAAGTCGACTGTTACTCCTAAATGGGTATGCTAAATTGCCTAATACGAAAGTAAATCCGTTGTTGCCGGTTAGATTAAGAATTTTCTGAGAAGAGAAATACAAGGTTCAAGCCCAAGGGGGGTGCTGGATGATTGTTGTTTGTTTGGGCTCTGAATGGCCTGTTCCGACCAGGAGTTCAGATAGTGAATAGTGGCGCCAAATGGAGAGCAGAAAGAAAAAAAACGGAACCACCTCGCTGTAATTTCCTGGTCACGTTGATTTGCACCGTCCCTGAATACCTGGAAAAGGCCAGGCTCTGAAATAAGCTTTTTAAAAGGAAGAGTAGAGAACTATCAAGGGCATCTCTTTATTGGCTGTTAAAATTTACTAACGAAACAGAAACTACATTGTATCAAATCAGCTTTGTCACTCCTGTTAAATGCTACCTCAAAGTTCACATTTTGGACGGCTTTATACGCAAGGCTCAAGGGTCTCATTTTTGAACCTCTTATTTGTCTCTTGACCGCAGGAGGAACTGATCAGGTCATCTGCTCGCCAACCAGCTTGTGCCAGCGCTGAGAAATCAGACAAAGCTAAAAGAAGAATGAGAAGAATTATCGATGAAGAAAATTCCAAGTAAGTAACTAAAGCTAGCTGGTCTTTTGTAATGAATGCGAAAGCGGCTAAAGTATGTTGGGTAGGTTGAAAACGTTTAGGCAAACACTATCCCGGCACAACTGAGTTTCTTGTTACATATATTTGCTACATCCCTCAGCGTTTTCTATGCGGCGTTTATTTCAAAATCACATCTCTTGAATAAGTGATAGTCATTTGTACCTGTAAATACACTTTATACAGAGTAGCCAGCGATTACAGCCGCCTGTCATCGAGGCCTAAAAGAAGAAAGATATTTAAGTTAATGTTAGACTTCCCATGTGTCGCGTTTTTGCCGAGAGAGAGTCGTAATTGTCTAGAAGGTGTAGGTATAAACCAAGTTGCAATGAGTTATAATCCTCTAATAAAAGCAGCACTCGTGTGACTGGGTGCGGCGTTTAATCGAGTAAATACGGTAATAATCACTTATGGAATATGTGGGCTAAGAGCGCAAAAATTTGTGTATTCAGATGTATTTAGAAGCGAAAGATTTCGACGAAATCGATCGCAAATTTTGCGCAGGGCATGATAGGATCCCTGAATAATCCTTCTTTGAACTTTGTCGTGTGATCTTTTTGCACACGCGATCATGCAGTGCATGAGCGCCGTATACAGGTGTATGGTAGATCTTTCCAACTAGTGTTTCTATCTTTCTTTGCAGGTTACAGTTTAATAAAGCGAAAGCACAGGAAATGCCTTCAACTACGGTGAGATATCACTGATTTTCGTTCACTCTGTGTTGCAGTTACCAGTAATACCACTGTTTTATTGATATTATATCTAACCCCATACACTTTAAGCAGCAACGAAACGGAGGGTAAACTAAAGCAAGGACCATCGGACACATTTGCCATTAATGTGGGGGAAATCGCCTGTTAAATGCCATTGCATGACCTTAAATTTTTAAGGCTTTACTTCTTCTGGTACTACGAGCTGAAGCCTCAGCTTTCAACAACAGAATATCGCAGTAGGATTTAGTTTTACGCTACTTTTAATGAGATAAGCCGGATTCCGATATTGAGATCTTAAGCACTAGTTGGAAGTTTTCTTTCTTTTCTTTCGAGCGCTCATCACGTTCTTTGTAAAATTGTCATCTTTGACTATGACGGTAAAAAATCATTCTTTTTGTTTTTCAGGGCGGAAACATTCCGATCAAGTTAAATGCCGCTACAATCATGAGAGAAGGAGCACTGTTTCAAAAGAAGGAAGAAGAGGAATTAAAAAAGTAAGCTTTTCTCTTCAATTTAACTTTGTCTTGGTTGTCTGCTTTGTTGTGTGTGTGTTTGAACGCATTTTATCCCAACAATTTAATTTTTTTTCTTGCAGACTATTAGAGTATGAAAAGGGTGGAAGAGATGCCTCCGAGTTCTTAAAATGGCAAGAAACTACAAGAAAGGTATTTAAGTATTAAAAATATATATATTGTAGACAACGAGGAAACTTTGCACGTGCATTACGCTTTTTTGGACATTTCTTTGCCATTGTTGCACGACCACGAAGTAAAACTGCCTAATCTTGCGTTTTGTTGAGGAAGTGAACACAGATACGGTCCTTTAATTGGAAGTGAACTCCACAAAAATTCACCAACAACTGACAAATTAGACGGCACAGAACGACAGCGATAAATCTTGAAACAGCATAAATTCACTATTTAATAGACGTTTTCGCCACCTGCGTCATCGTTGTTACTTAAACTCCCGAATAGAGATTCCTCGAGTTGATTGTATGTGTGTTTTTTATGCGGAAAATGGGAGTTAAAATACACTTAGGAAGACGCTGTCTTTATATCCTTGGTTACTTATTCATTTACTTTTTACACGTTTTTATTTTGTTGTCGTTGTTGTTCTTTTAACGCAGAAAGACCTGGACGAAAAGCTGGCAGAAATCGAGAGACGAAGATTAGTAAGTAATTAAAACAAGTTTTTAGATTTTGTTTCCAAGACTGTTTGCATGGTCATAGCTGAACCATGCTCTCTTTGGTGTTCCATAATTGTAATCTGTCTTCTTCTTTTTTTTAAAGGAGGGAAAATTGAGCTATGAAGAGGCGATATTAGCCAGACAAACTATGATCAAGGAAAATCAACAACGAGTTATGGAAATGAAAGAAAAGGTAAGGAGAAAATGACTAAAAGTGGGGATTTAGGTGGAGAGAACCCCTTCCCAAGTTATTTTCAAGGCTAGCAAAACCATGAACAAGTATCTTGCGTGAAAGCTCTTGAAGGCCCTGGAAACGTTGGTGGGAGGCGCCGGAGTGCTCTGAACACTGCGCCATCTTTGCTTTCGCTCTCAAAAGGGGCCAAAGTCAAAATTCAACAAATTTTCCAAATTCCATTTTGTAAAATACTGAAAAACAGCTGACACCCTGTGAACGTACGACCAAAGAGCTTTCATTTGAATGGTCACCTGACCATAGGATTTCATCATCAGACTTAAACTTTAAACTACATTCTAAACAAATAGTACCATGTGAAAGTACTGCTGGAGAGGTTTCATTTGAATGGTAACACCATAGGATTTCATCCACAGAATCAAAACTTAGAACTACATTCTAAATAAATATAGTACCATGTGAAGGTACTGGCAAAGAGTTTTTATTTGAATGGTCACACCATTGGATTTTGTACACAGATTTAAAAGATAGAACACTTCACAAGAATGAGAGGGTTAAAATTTAGTAATAATTTGGTTCACAGACCAAAGAGATGATGCAGAAGCATCTGGAGAAAAAGTCAAAAGAAGGAGAAGAAATGAGGTTTGTGCTGCCTGTACTGATTGAACTGAAATCTTTGACTTGTATTATCAAGGCGTCAGTTTTAACTCGCTTGTGCCTCAGGCCGTGCGGTCAAGGGTTTAATTTTTTTTTTCAATTGCAGAAAACTTGTTGAGCAAACTATGATGGAGCATGAAAATACCAAAGAAGCTCGAAGAAAACTTCAAGAATACAAGCAAAAACTTGGTAAGGAGTTTTTCGTAGAATTCTTTCATCGGTCTACAAGGTATTTTGTATGATATTTTATTGGACTTCTTGATCATATTACATGGACGAACAGATGTTGTTGTAGTGCCTTGTTTTATTGATGGTTTACACCAATTCTGCATGATCACTTCAAGTTGCTACTTACTCACATTTTACTCGCATTTCTTCATCGTCCAGTTTGGCGTGGTTTTGTTGCTTTAACTGTTACATATTTTCATTGGCGTTACTGAATTTTTTTCGTCTTTTTTTCTTCTAGTTCAAGAAGTCAGCAAGGAAAGCCAAGAACTGATGCGGAAAGCGTTGGAAGAGGTAACGTTAACTTTTTTACCGAATTTTACTTTTCCTTTCTGCGGATTAAAAGATGCGGTAGATGTCGCTAGACTTTTCCAAAAAAAAACAGGACGTATTGATAGTAAATTTAGCGTAATTTTTCCCAACCAAGAGAAGGAGGGTTACAAGCGAGGAGATAGGTGCTGTAATATTTAGATTCTTATCAAAAGCTAACCTCCCAAGAGGGTTACTGAATAAACGCTGTCAGCTAACGCCCAGTCATAAACCTGTGATTGCAAAAGAGATTAAAAAGGTTCGTCATCTGAATGACTCATGGAACGTTCAGTTTATACAGCGAGGGGGTCAGGAGTAAATCAGCGGAGAATGATAAAAATTAAAATACAATTCCTTTTGACTGCTTTTCAGTATTTAACTGTGTAACATTTTTGATTGAGGAGTTTGTATTTTGTAGGCTGAGGAAGAAATGAGGCAACGAGTCGCGTTGATCGCCAAGATACGAGCCATAGAAAGTGTACCTGTAATTAGGTTCAAGGTACCCTTCCTCTTATTTCCATATTAATCACTAGCTCATTAGCCCTAAATCAGTTCCTCTGATAAACTGTAATGTTTTTTCTAGTGTTTCACCATTTTTTTAATTAACTGCAACAAGACCTTTTTGACTCGGCGTTCATTGCCTTTATTTCCGGCATTAACTTTATGATTGATCAGGCTGCGACATTATAAGGAGAAATTAAACGTTAATCACCCTAAACTCATTTACTCACATGCTCTTTTCCAGCAATGACTTGTATCCCCTACAGACAACTGTTGTACCGTTGCTTTTGTTTTTCGTGAAGTAACGCTTTTTATTTTTGTTCAAATAGCATGTAGATCTCACGGAAAGTTCAGGAGCTGGTCTTCTTAGTGAAATGTCCGTCGCGGAGGTGAGGCCGTTAGAAATTAGAAATTAGAATTCACGTCATTTTTCTGTGATAAAACGTTTGTTAAAAAGTGTCTTTCATTAAAGTAGTAGTTTCAGGAATACCACCGGATAGTAGACTACCGGTCAGCAGTCTGAGGCCAAACGCATTAATTTTAACGTTAGACGTGAAATTTTACGTCTGGGGTTCAGCCCAGTCAAACTCTCTATTTTAACGCGAAACGCTTTTTAGCAGTTGGGTATGACGTTTGGCTTTGTGCTCTTGCTATTTTTCTCCGAAATTCTGTCATTTTCCTACCACTGTGCAAGATCAAGAACAGTACAGTTACTAAGGCTTCCTGCCATGAAAAAGCTTAGCTTGTTTACTTGTTTGTATGTTTGTTGTTTGGAAGTTAGCATGTTTTCACCCATTTTTTGAAATTTTGTCCAAAATGTTGCTGAGAAGTTTGCTTCAACCCTGCTTTTTAGTTACGGGAGAGGCTGGCTTTACTTAAAATCGCAGAAAAGGAAGAAGAAGAGGATAAGAGAGATAGCATTCTCAAATCCAAAGTGGTAAGTAGTGAAGGCGTTAAAAGAACTGCGTCACGAAATTTATCAAAATTCTAACAGCAAGAACTGCCACTGAACTAAGTGAAACAAAAATAATCGATGAAAACATTAAAAGAAGGTGAAAAGAGCATAGCAAATTCAAAAGTGGTCACGGATGGACAACCTTAAAGAATTTTTAAAACAGATCGAAATTGTGGGGTTTTGAAAACTTGTTATCCTAACTGTTTATCAAAGCTCATTTTAATTTATTGTTTGTAACGTTTGATACCATGCTTGGGAATTATTTTTGTTGGACAAGAGGCTGTGATTTTGTCATTTACAAGAAATTTCTTCCTTAACGTTAATTTCCTTGGCGCATAAGAAAACGTAATCGGCAATATCAACGAAATGAACGAAACAGCCGTGAACGGGTTAAGCTATTGAAATTGATCGAGCTGCAAAACAAAACTACCCCTGCAAAACCTCAAGACTGCCCCGCGTTACAGACTCATGCGCGGGGCTCGCCGCTGACCGACGTTGTCTGGTGTTTATGCCTTGTTTAATTTGTCTTTGGAATTCTCAACAGGAGAAAGATCAGCATCTTATGGACACTCTAGAAACCATTGCTAAACATCGAGCTCAGAAAGGAAAAGAGGCAGCCGTCCAGTAAGTAGCTATATTCGAGAGCTTAAGTAACGAAAATGGCGACGGCAACGACAACGTCAAGATAACAATCGGCTAAAATACGCATGTTTAGGCTATGTTTACATTATACTAGATAGCTCTTACGCAGACAATAAAACTATACAGGGTAGGGCTTCTGTTCACCCAATAAAATTGTGCAAATTTTCATGTTAAACGGGGCAAAACTATTTGTGTTTGATAGGCTTGAACAAAAGAGGCGCCCAGTGAAAACGGAAATGAAAGATCCAAAACTGCAAGAATTACAAGAAAAACTGGAGGCCAAGAAAGCAGGTAGGTTACCTCTGAGCACTGATCAAGAGATTTGTTATATGGCTGAATCCGCGAGCGGGCAAGATGAAGCGAATCCTGCGTTCTGATTGGCTACTCAAGCGGGCCGCTCGGGAGTTCCCGCGTTGGTCCCGTTAGAAAAAGTTTCCTTTTTGGCCATACAATAAACCCCTTATTGACCAGGCTTGTTTGGTCAAGATGGCTGGATATTGGCGTCGTTCTTTTTAGCGCTTTTATTGACGTCGACTTCGTGTCGGTCAATAAAAACACAAAAAAGAACTTGGCCAATATACAGCCATCTTGACCGAACAAGCCTGGTCAATGGCGCATATCTATTGTACTTTGTTTGATTAACATTGTGTTGAAATCATTATTGACTATTTAAACTAACGCACCATTGAAAGTAAAGAAATTAACACACCATTAACACCAACTAAACATGTTTAATTAAAGCAGGGTTTTAAAAATGAAAAAGACTGACGGAAAACTAGTACACAGGCTTTTACCCAGAATTCAAGTGAACTTTAACATGTCAAAAAATGGCCCTAAACTTACCATCAATAAGAGTACAGTAAACAGCTTTTATGAAGAACACAAATTTAATCGTGTTTAACTAAACAGCTTTTAAACATGTTTAAGCTTTGGGTTGAATGGGGCTTGAGGAGATTTTAATTGAGAATGTTTCCTGTTACAAACAGATTTTATTAACATGTTATAAAATTTACTGATCTATGTCATTTATTTTGTTGTTGTTGTTTTTTATAGAACGTAAAATGGAAACTGAGAAGCTGGCCGTGCTGCCCAAAAAGAGCTCTGCCAGGCGACAAAAAACTTTGCAAACAGAAAAGGTTGGTGGCTTATTGCCCACTTGTATACTAACACTTGTACGCCAGACAATTGCCGTAACATGTTAATACTGGTAGCCGCTATCAGTCCATTCATGAGATTACTGTACCCACCCAACCCATGATGTGAATAATGTGTGAAGGTTGGCCGCACCGCCGGGGTGTACGTTCCCTACTCTTTTCGAACAGTGGTGTGGGTTCTTTTACGTCCCACAAGATCCTGATAAGACAAAGTGAAAGTGCTGTGAGACGGGACCCACGGTTACCTCGTCATGAACTTTTAGAATTCCTTTTCACTGCTTACTCAATTGTCTTTTAGCTTTCTGCATTATCGTTGCAATGTTTATCTTTGTTAATCGTTGTGTTTTATTATCTTTGCACTTTTAACAATGACGGTGGTTTTATTTCAGGCGGCTCTTGAAAAGATGAGATGGAGAGAACTTGAACAAACTCGTGAAAAAGCAGCTAAACTTCGAAGCGAAGGACTGGCTAGTAGAAACTCTGCAGGAGTCAGACCCGTTACCACTCTAAAGTAAGAAGAGGGGGAAAATACAAACTAGACGTTAGCCGACGTTTCGCGACGCCACCGCTGGTTTCCGCGCGAAATGACGTCTGAGGAACGAGCACAGAAATTCCATACTGATGACGCGTCACTACTCAGATCTGTGTAGTGCTTCTGATTGGGTAAAGCAGATTTTCAACCAATCACACGCGTTACCTAACCACTATAGATGAGTTCGATCGATACTTAAACAACTTTTCCCCTTTACTTCTTAAGGAAATGTATAGGGGAAACCCTCCCTTTTGAAATGAGAAAAAGAGAGAAAAACGGAGAGAGAAGAAGCCGTCAGCTATATTATCTTGGGATTGTACAGTTTAATAACATTCTTTTTTTTTCGTTTAGAAATCAGCGGACCACTGCAAGAATTGCTTCCTAAAGACATATAACAATTGTTAGAAGAATGTTTTTTTGTTGTTTCACACACCTGTAAATAAAAAAAAGTAATAAAAACTATGCTGTTAAGCAGACTTTTTGTCTTTATATGTTTCTTGTATAACAACAGTAATCATAGGCCTAGGGCCAAACGTGGAACTTTTCATGAGGCGAATCAAACTTAGTGAATTCAGTTCATGAAAAGTTCGACGTCTGGCTCAGTTAAGTTCGTCTGAATGAGTTTGGATGGTCCAACACGTTCTATCCATCTGCTTTAGACGGATAGAACGTCTGACGATCGTCTCCGGGACAAACGTAGATCTTCACATGCGACGAACTAAACTAATAAATTAAAAATTTGTATGATAATGTATATTTAGCCTCGTTTGGCTAAAATTGCTTTTTGGTCTGATTCATTTGATTGCTTCGACGCATCCTAAGTTCGACGTCTGATCCAACAGGTGATCTTAACTTAGTTAATACTTTAGGTCGATCTAAATTAGAATTTGGTTCGTCTCATGAAAAGTTCGACGGCCCAGGCCATAGACGAACACACTGGGAGAAACAACTTGACTGTGGTGCACCGCTATTGGTTCATTTGTGGTGGTGTTTTAAAGTTTGTTTACCGCGGTACTCATCACTTGAAATGAATGCGTCTTATCGAGGTAGCATAACTAATCTCTTACTAAATGGTTGGTTGTTTTATTGTCAGACCCAGAAAACCTTTGTTAAACATCTTGGTCGTTCACACAGCTCCTACGTTTGAACTTTTGAATTGTCCATAGTGTTTTTCCATAGGAAATTAATCTGAGTACGAAGCAATCTCGCATTTTTATTTTATCTGAGGTTAAAGGCCTTGTACCACAGAAAAAAAGGCTCAGAGCAACTGAAGCTTTTATGAAACAAAGCTCTGCAGGGATTGCTAGCTCGAGAAAAATCGAGTCTAACCACACGTAAACGTACGATAATTTTTTTTCCGTCTGTGTCTCTGTTTATGGAAAATGGCAGCCAGGTTTAGTGTCTCAAATTAGAAAATGAGCAGATAAAAACTGTCAAAATAATTCTTAGGGAGAAAACTTCATAATTTCGAGTAGATGTAATGAACAGTAAACGACAAGTAAAAGAGGTCATACGCCACAGACGTGATTCTATATATGTCTATTTAAGAGAAATTAAATAAACTTAAACAAGAATCAGCCAATCAGTGACCGACTTGTCTCAGTTCCCCTGTCCCGTCAAACCACGTCTGCCTGGGATCATCTTCCGGTTATCCCTAAGGGTGTTGGGTATGCAATCAGCCTCAGTGGTGTAGCGGTTACCATTGAAGAAAAGTCGCCAAAACTCCAGCATGCTGCATTGATTTTCCTCATGAACCCACCTGGTAGTCGTTCTCGTCCTCGAATCTAAAGGTTTCTAGATGATATTGCAATTTGTTGTCGGCAGTCGTCGAACAGGGTCATGTTACTTCAGTTGCATGATCTGCGTGTGCCAAGATTTGAAATTCAACAGTTAATTTTCTCATCCTTACAAATGCCATTTAGGGGATTAGGAAAAACATACGTGCTGATTAGATGCATTTAGGTAGATGTATATTGCAAGTCTCGTCTTACCAGGTGATTTGTTCAGCATGCTAAATTTCATCGGATAAATCCAGCATCAGAATTTTTATTAAGAACGCACATAAATATTTAATTTTCGAAATAGTAATCGACAAATTCATGTAAAGGAACAAACGGCCCCATTGGTTTTTGTAGTCAAAATAGGTTTCAAACTGGCCGTGAGTCGCGCTTGCAGGGTACGCTTGCGTGCTCTCTTATCGCGCCCATTTCGCGCACCGCCTTCGGATGAACGCAGCTCGGCTTGTGCACATAAACTAGGAAGGGGATTTCCAAGTTCCAAAAACTCTTACTGTCAAGTTAATGCCAAGTGCAAAACATTTATTTTTTGAAAATATTTATGGGAATAAAAACTCCTAGTAATAAGTTTTTTACACTTCCCCTTGATTTAAAACAGACTCGGGCTATTAAGGATATCTCAGAAAAGGCTTAATCTTATCTCGCATAGGCTTAGATCATATGAAACGAGGATACTTTCGTTCACTTACTTTCGGCTATTTAGTACTAGACGACTACAAGCAGTATCTTAATTCTCGTAGTTGTTATTTTGATGGGTTTTTTTTTTTCAAGGAAGGTGTGTGAAAAAACGAGGGATTCGGGTAAGCGAGCGTTCTTGCAGTGCAGTTTCCCCTTGCATCACCTGGCAGACATTGAAGAAAAATAAAAGACTGCTTTTAATCCATTAACTTTTAGGTGACATTTTATTTGTTTGTTTGTTTGTTTCTTTTTGGTTTCATGGCTTTAGGTAGATTGGAATAGCTTAACTCGTGTACGTGTTTTCAAATTTCCGTCTGCATTGTCTCTATGGTTGTTACGTTGATCGACTTTGTTCGTGAAGCATTTGCATGACAATTTGTACTTTGCAAACCCCAATGACTAATGAATGGTCACATGATCCCGGAGAGATTTAAACCTCAGCAGAGCTTTATAAATCGTGCAAGCAGTGTCTTTATAGTCGTTATGTTGCATTTCAGTACCCGCTCAAAGGCGCTTCGACTCGTGGAGAGAGATTCATAAAGTGGTCATCGTATAACTGCCAAATGTTTTCAACGTTAGCGCCGTGGATCATTTTTCTTTCATGTCAACAGCACGTTAGCGCAGGTACTGTCTTACCTATAGCCTTCCTTCATCATTTTTCCTATTCCTTTGAGAAGTACGCAGCTTCACGTCAAGGAATTTTTGATTTTTCAATTTGGCCAATTCATACCTTCTGGGTCCCTAGCAACAGTTTCACATATCAAACGTTATGTAAACAATAATACTAGCAGCAACGATCGACACCCCACTTCTAACAGAGCATATATTTACCGTTCACTTAAGGATAGAAGAAAGTAAATTAAGAGTATGGAGCAATCTCAGACTAGGGAAAACCTTGTCAGATTCTTAAACTTCGAAGTTTAAATCAGCAATAGGAGCATGTGGTCATTAGCAAATTTATAATTGTTCGCCCAAAATTTGTTATGTGTTCTCTGTCAGCCATGCGTCCAACTGCAGCTCGCTCCACATTTTTATGTGGTTCGAAGCATTTAGTTTACCTATTCTCGTACATTGTTTGCGCTCCATCACTCTCACAAAAGGAAGGCTCACGGGCAATAAACTCACTTAGATTCACCAACCTGCACGTACATTTATACAAAAAAATTTGTTAAGTTACTAAGATGACTGCATTTATTGATTTCTGCTCTTAATATTAACATTAGTTGCTAAGACACAATAACCTCCTACCTACCTTGAAACGGTCTAAACATTAAGTTATCAAAAGCAAGATTAAAAAGAAAATTGCCAGAGTTGATGTACTAAATGAAGACAACTCAGTTTTCCTATAAACTAACATTGGAAAATTTTTCTTTCTTACGAAAAAGTATGACTGAGAAAGCTAACTTTGACGACGGTATCAAGATCCTACAAGACTTAATTCCCTCAACAAAAAAGCATTTAAAACCTTTTTTCAATAGTAATCAATACTTTTGGTCTTCAACTATTTCAAAGATTGCAATAACTTTATTCCCTTTTTTGACTTTGATCACACTAAGAAGACAAAACACTAGAAAATAAAAAGAGCAATTATCTAAGCCAAGAGATAATTTGTGGGTGTCTGTATCAACAAAATCAATAAACGACTTGACAGTCTGAATTTTCAGTTTTCGGATCGTGCCGGCTATCGGAATGATGGGATAATGGGTTAAGGGATTAAGGTCATTAAGTTTGCTCATTAAAAAGAATACATTACTGCTCAATCTAATGGAACTTTGTTTATACAATCTGTTTGCATAGTAAAGAACCTCCTTGGTAATAAATATGCTCAAATAAGAGAAGCTAATAGACACTTATACTCAAAAGTAATTTGTGCTATCACGCGGACTGCAGCAAAGGAAAGTACAGTTGAACGAGGTTGCGGGTTAACTGCTTTTCGAGCTTTTGTGAGCCGACAGTTAAAACCAGATTTGTCAATACAGTACTTACCTGTGTTGCTATGGAGATGAGGTTGTTATGGTGTAAAACATTAGCAGATCAGTTTAGCAAAGGTTGTGACTAGAATGGCTACCCCAAAGTCAGATTGTCATCTTCATTCAAAATGCATGATAGGGGTCTTATAACTTAAAGTAGTAAATAAGAGAAGGAAGAAAACAGAAGAAAACAGTAGGTAGTATGTAGGACTTGAACCCGCGTCATTTGATGTATAATACATATCCGTATCCACTACACCATCAAGGGCTAACTGCCGAGAGTATAGCGTTGTGTAATAAACATAAGGTGTCCAACCTGATTTTGAGGTATCCATTCTAGTCACAACCGTTTAGCAAAGTCAACGTGATGAAAGGAAGATGGCATGCGCAATGCTAAAAACTTAATTGACCAATAGCAGAGAGGCAAATTGAGCACCGGGAGTTGGATTCAGTCCTTTCTGCGCGCTTTTGCATTCTGGTTTTCTTTGCTAAATCTGCCTGTTAAAAGCTGTGCGCTATATGACGAATCAAGTTTTTGTCCCTTTGAGCCAGGAAGGTGGCAATTCTGAGGACGGAAGCCAGTTCACGCTTTAAGAACTTTTATATTAAGTACAAATAAACGCGATTTTCTCCTCAGTTAACTGTCATTAAATGTTACTGGGTTACTGATTGATCAGGTTTGTGATGATTATAACATGAAAAGGAAGAAAAAGGAAAGAGAGTCAGGCTCATTAGTTTCATGTTCTTTCCATTTATATTTCAAACGCGCCACGAGCCGGTTGTTATAATTGTTTGTTTTCTTTTTAGAAACTGTCCGTTATATCTTTTGCTGTGCATGGAGTAATTTTCATTCAACAATTAACTTTGCCTACAAGGCAAAAGAAGGATCGTTGTTCCTTCTCATTCCTGGAAAATTAACTATTTCGTGATCAACCGTAGGGTGCGGAAGATGCCAATAGTGGTACAAAAATCTTCACTATAATGAAGCGGGCACTGCCTCCAGTACTAATCCGTTGCCTGGGCAATAATGTACTATTTTATTTTCTTTCAAGTTAATGTGTTCTTTTCTCTTTTACGGCTATTCGAAGTATCGTTCATTTTTTCTCCCCATATATTTCTACAGCTGCACTTTTTCAATCAGTTGAGACTGGCGAGAATGCATCGGATTAAGGAAAAGCGGGAATTGTCCCTTCTTGTCTCCAGTAGCTCCTTGTCCTTCCTAGCATCTCCCTCAAACCTCATTACTTAATTCCCTGGGTTTTATAACTTTTTAAAGGAGCTATAGTCGCGCTATTTACTATCTATCTACATGGCTAAAACGTGTCTTAGTATTAACTGAATTCCAAGAATAACGGTCCAGTTTTGATATTTAAGACTATACGGATGGCAAGGGTGGCCGACATGGATAGAAACTTGAAACATTTGGGCGAACTTTTTCAAGTTTTAATGCCACGCCGGTAAAAAGCACCAGAAAAAATTATGGTTAGTGCTCCCTGATGAAATGCGTTTGATATCGTCTTCGTGTTTCTTCTGGAGAATTTTGTGGGTCGGTAATTGTACTAAAAAAAGGAATATCCTCGTGACATAGGCTCTTTAAAAGATGACAAATACATGAGGACTGCGATCGTTCCTGAGTTTCTAAAATATCCCAGTTCGCTCCAGTGGGACAACAGACATTCTGTTGTTGTTGTTTTTTGGGACTTGTGGTTGTTGTTGTAAGAAAAATCCTGTTTCATGCATGTCCTAAATATATTGCTGGCTTCAGAAAATAGTTCGACTCTTTTTGAAAACGCAGAACGAACATAATTATAGGTTTCCCTCCGGAAACTTCAGCCACAACGGAAAATCTAAGCTTACACACAGCAAAAATTGAAAAACGTTTTGATTGAAACTAATCGACTTGTAAACTGATTTCAACTCGTCTTACAGGGAGTGATAACATTTTGAAATATGTTTACTTTTAAATAATCAGGAATGAAATAAAATTGAACTCATAGGCGTGGGATCGAACAATGCTTCACGAATTAACAAGTTCCCATCTCTTGGTTTTTACACATAATAAGTCCTTTAGACCAAAGAACGTTAAAATATTCATCAGGTACCAGCAGGTAACTGATAAAAATTTCATTTTTTTGGTTTGTTCTTAGCTCTGAAGTCGTCTTTTTTTGTACAATGTGACTTTTTGCAATGAACGACCTCGTTTTTGCCTAAACTATTGTGTGCAATTTGAAGACACTTTCTACTTCTTGGACAAATTTGGTTTTCCAACATACGTTCCTTAGTTGGTGATAAAAATAAAGATCAGTTTGGAGAATGTTATTCACGACATGACTAAATATCATGGGCGGGAAAAAAACATCGATCCACTGTCAAAACATATTACCGTACATTACCATACATCCAGTTCCTTTGTTAGTCATTCATCACTTAATTGTTTTGGAAACACAGTTTCGAAGTGTTGAAAAATCACGATAATTTTCTTTCAAAGAGTTAGGGTCGTCTAAAACGCCTTTAACCATCCACAAATGCAGCTGTATCAGATCGCTCTACATTTGTACATTTGCATCACATTTGTATCTTTCTATCAAAACGCAGTGGCAGGTTAGTGAAAAAGCTTTATGCGGTGCTTATATTTATTTAGAACCACAAAGTTCTCTCATCTTTCTCTCGTTTTTCACACTTCAAGTGTTGAGAGGTTCCTAATATTAAAAATCACTTTAATCTGGTGACGGATTCATCTTGAAGGCTTGACTAGGAACGAAACTGTCTACACGTGATGTTATTAAAAAAGGGAATCATGTTAGGTTTGATTTCTTCTACAATAAAGCCTCATGTATATTTTAGTAGTGCGTAAGTCTCTCAGCCTGGGCAAAACACTTTTAATTATCTGACCGATGGTTTTAGACAGAAACGACAAGACTTGTTTTTAATTGTAATTATACATTGACACAAACTGTCCAGTCAACCTCAAAAAAAACCTGGCTGTTGCTTTATTATCCTACACTCGAAAGCCTAATGGAAGACTAACCGCCAAATTTCTGATTTGCAGTCGACAATCCTACGAATATTAAAGCAAGAACAGTTATTGCCGATGCAGCCGTAAAGCGTACGACCACTACAATTAGATCGCGCTCTGGCATTTCCACCTTACTGGAGTTCATGTGCTAAATCAATAAAACTGAGGTGTCAATGGATCTGAGCAAAAATGAATTTTCTAGATTTCGGGGGGATGTAACTGTTAGAGCTTTCTCAATGGGTGCTTTTTTTTCGTTTGAGACAATGAAATGCTGCAGGATAGCCGTTAATTGGAGGTGACAACAACAGCAAGTGTATTGGTTAGTAGGTGGAACAAAATCTCATGGCCGTTAGCAAAGGGTCGACTGTAATCCCCATGATATTGCCTCTTTAATAGCAATTCTTTCTTTATATTTTCTTTTTCAGAAACCACTCTCTCGTTTAAAGATCAGTGCTTGAAATGGCACAACGACTACCGTCAGCAACATCAGGTAAGTAAAAGTCGTAAAGACTTACTCTACGAAAAATACACATTACCCGGAGCAAATTAAAGTGGTTTTGCCAATTATCATGGATAATAAATTGCAAAATTTATTGCCTGATAACAAAAGATGCTAGCAGGTATGTATCATTTAATTTGATTATTGTATAAATCGAAATCGTTTTCTAACTCGTACTTGTTTAAGGTCAAACGACATCTACAGACTTACTGCATTTGAAGCTTTTCTGAAACGCCTGCCCCCGTCGTTTGTGTACCGAAAACCATTAGGTGAGAATATGGTCGGACGGCTCAACTCGAAACACAAAAGAATGTAGGAAACAAACCCTCTGTTTTCTCCCAAAATTGCTACCATTACCACCGACAAAGTCAGATATGGATCGGTCCGATGTAAGTTTCATCAAGTTTGTTGAATAGTTTCAAATAAGACAATAATCATGGAGATTGTTATTTTTGTTTCCGCGACATATACAGGTTGAAACAGTGGTGTGGAATGAAACCCTTGCCAGGAATGCGGCGGTCTGGGCCAGTTACTTGGCAGACAATAACCTATTTCAGCATGCGACTAACATACCAAATGAAGGAGAAAACCTTTACATGTCAACAGCTGTCCCCAATGAGCCATGTACTGCAGCTACACAAGCTTTCTACAATGAGATTAAAGATTATGATTTCAACAAACCTGGATTTTCGTTGGAAACAGGACATTTTACACAAGTGAGTTAAGACAGCAGGGCAATCATTTTCGGAAAGAGAAGATAGTATTCCTTAATTTTAATTGTTTTCGACAAAGCGTGGTCTCGAAAATGACACAAAATAGCCTTTTGCGTCAACTGTGGCAGGGCAGAACTCAAACATTTGAAGTGAGGATCAAGTCGAAGCTTACAACATGTGGTTCGGATAAAATGTAGCCCAATGTTGATCAAAGGAGTGCGCATAACTGCTGTTCACGTAAATTATTTTACCAAATAATACATGCGACTAACATAAGAAAGGAAGTTATCGTATTTACTGTTTGTTAAAAGCTAGCTAGAAAAAGGCCAGAAACGTCTAGTCAACAGCTCTTAGTCCCAACTGCCCGCAACGGCTTAATCCGATGAATCCTTATTAAATGAAAATATCCGTTTACGTTCATCGGAGCTGTCGAATTCTTAGAACAAAGGCAGTAGCTTCATAGCCCTGACAATATCGTGTTGAATCGACATAGCTTAGAATACAAATAGCACCAACACAAATGGGGTTGTAGTGCCCATTTCCAGCTCTTTTTAGGCCCCGGGGTACTCTCCCCAAATCTTTCTTCTTTGCTTTAGTTTCAAATTCAAATATAGTGACTATGGCAGGAAATTGCTGGTTTTCGGCTGCCGTAACGTCAGCCATGTTGGTTGGCAAGAGAAAAAGCGTTTCCCTCTGCTGGGAACTTAACTCTTCTTTCATGGAAATTGTGCTTGTTTTGTTTATCGACATGGCCTCCTTGTCACGTGAGTCAAGTACTGAAAGGACCGACTTCCCCTTTTTTGCGCAAGACAGGAAACAATAGAATTGTAGTGATGGTGGTAGTGGTGCAGAGAAAAAAGAAATGTGGTGGTGCTGGTGGATGAAAAAAAATGGGGTGGTAGAGGAGGGAAAACAGTTAGTAAAAATTTGGTAGTGGTGGTGTAGGGAAGAAAAGAATTGTGGTGGTGGAGGAGGGAAAAATAGAGATGTAGTGGTCCTGGTGGTTGTGTTGTATAGAAAAAGAAATATGGTGGTAGAGGAGGGAAACCAGTAGAAATGTGGTGGTGGTGGTGGCGGCGGAGGGTGATCTAAAAAACAAAATAATTAAATTTTGTTTTTGTTTAGTACTAGGAAAAGGTAGTTTGCTTGTGCCAGTATAAATATGCAAGATGTGCTTGCCAAGAATAAGTGACCCTGAACTGGAACGAATTGTTGCCTGCATGATGAAAGCGGCAAAAATAGAAGTTTCATAATAAAAAATGACATTACGGCTGAGCCATTTTGAGCCACAGGCGATTTAGCGCTTATTCCTTCGACAACATGAGTCAACCAATAAATACCTTTATTAGTTTTTAGTCAAACAATTAAAAGGCAAGATATTTGACGACCTAAAACCGGTCAAACTGGTTAAACTGCCTTAGAAAGCACGTGAAGTTATCTTACTGAGCTTCTCCCGCATTATATTTGAGACAAAGACAAAAGGCTTTGACCTCATCACTGTCAATGTAATCCTGTGCAAGTTGATGAGATTCCTGTGCAAAAAAGTAGAAATCGGTTACTACTATACTACTCACATGGTTGCAAACCAAGTATACAAATATTAGTGATGGTTAGAAAAATACGCAAACACAAACAAGAAAAATAAAACTATTTTTTGTAATGTTCACACAAGACGACGATGTAAATATCTTATTTTATGCTTATCCTTAGATTGTGTGGAGAACGACGAAGCAAATAGGCGCGGCTTCTGCCACCAGGCAAGATGGCCGGTTTGTCATAGTGATTCGGTATACTCCGCCCGGTAACTTTGTCGGAGAGATATCATTCAAGGAAAATGTTCTCCCACCGAAAGACTGGCAAGCACCCACCGAGGCAGGTGTTACGCGGCTCCGATCATTCTCTCCTATGTTCGTGGCGTGCTGGCTGTTATTGCTTGGGTTGCATTTCTAAAATCGTGGACAACTTTCATGTTACTTAAAAGTGACTTTAAGAGCAAGAGTTGCACGAATTTGTAGCCAGGATACCAGCTTTTAATTGTATGATCCCGCCACTGCTTAGGTGTATTTTATTCACTATTTTTTTTTAAATAGGCTTTTCGTTAAATTATTCCCCATGCAAAAGGTAAAACGACCTGAGAATATCCCATACAAGTATCAATAGTGGATCCAGACCCTGTAAATAGGCGGTTGGTCGGGGGAGGGGGGTCTGGAAATAAACTACATTTTTTTTTTACTGTTTTACTATTTATATGTTCGGATGTCTCAGGGGAACTTTAGTCGTCTCGAAAGTTTAGGTACTGGATTTTTCGTCTCATCCAAAACTGTTGGGTACCCTGATGGATCCGTTTTTTAAAAAGTTCAAGAGGATGGAGAAGCCATGCTTTCATTAGAATGATTCAGGGGAACGTTTTGTGTTTACACCAAAATGTTTAGGGGACCGCTTTTAACAGTAATCGCAATATCTTGGTAATAAAAGATGAAACACAACCGGTCCGAAAAATGATGGGTAAGTTTGCAGAAAAGCACCGAAAATCTTTGTCGAGTAGAACAGTTACCCAGAAATTTGTAGCCTTTCTCAAGCCCTAGCTTTAGAATTTTCTAGGCAATATTTGCTCCTTCGAACAGTGGGTTTCCAAAAGAAAACAGTCGTGCAGTGGTTGCCTTTAAAGAGTCTTAGAAGACAGTAAAAGTAAACCATGTTCTTTACTCGTTCTTTTATTCAACGCTTTCAGCATTCACATCGTCTCCAGTTTTTTCTTTCCGCATTACTGTATTTATGTTTGAAAATAAAGTTAAACCACCAAGTGTTAAAATATTGGCTTTGAGTCTGTTATCATTGATATTCTTTTTACATTTTACCTCTATCTAACGACAATCATGACCAAACGTAATAAAAATATAATGGTAAAAAGCAAAAAAAATGATTTGTCAAATTAAAAATACAAAAGTGGCTTCAAGAAAACAACTGAACGACATTTTCATTTTTGACAGAAAAATGCTTAGCTCTAAGTATGATGGCCTTTTCATTTACAATAACTACCAGAATCCGTTTTCCCTATTAAATTAAATCATTATGTTTTGCAAGCCGAGAGGTTTCTGTGGCAATCGTTGTCATTTGCGGAGGAAATTATAATCCCAAAGGACTCTGGAAGTTTATAGTAAAATCACATGATCAGGCAGCTGGTCCAATAGAATAGTCCGTTTACAAGTTCCAAAACGAGGCCAATTGCAAAACTCTTCACGTGAAAATAGGTTTTATTTTAGCGGAAACAAAAAAAATATTTTCATTTTAAAGACTTCGCCCTCGCCCTCGTTTAGAAAAAGAGGCTCGAGTCATCTTGGAACTGGCCTATTGACTAACCTATTTTATGCAGCAGTCATGGGACCACCATCGCTGACGGCATAAGTTAATGACGAAACAATTCCATCTCAAGACGAAGAACAGAATTTAAATAAATAAGTTACGCAAAAAAGTTGTCGTTTGAAAAAGTGTTGAGGTTTCACAATTTTTTTATCAGTTATTTCATGTGTAATGGTTGTAATGTCAACACAGAAACGAAACTAACACTACGCTCCTGTTTTCAGAATTTCTAATTATCAGTTCAAAATTACTCTCACAAAATTGATACAATCTTCTGGCTAGTGTTAGCTCGGAACACTTTTGGACTTGAAATTTAATGTTTTTTTCTCATGTTAAACTAGCTTGGCACTTACTTTCTATCGACCTAGTACTAGTGTAAGTGCAATCAAAACTCCCTAAAAAGTTGTCGTAATATTTACTGAAACATTCACTCAATCCAAGTCTGACATTACAACCAGAACACCAGGAATAGATATAATGTTTAAATACATTTTTATACTCTGAGAACTAATCGATATCGCAAGGTAAAATTTCCCCATTCCCTATCTAAAGTTTACTATGAAGGACAAACGTTATTTAGCCTTTCCCGAGGCTTTACTGTGGCTTCCAGAGTCACAATCACTACGTCCGATATTTTAAGTTATCTACCTTGAATAATTGGAACTCACTTCCCTACCACGTAAGGAGAAACATTATTTTCTACCAACAATGTTTGTCACTGAAATTGCGATCTACTGAGCTTTCTCAAATATATAAACCTCTGGGTCATTTCCCAGTAAAAAAAATGATGTTTTCGCCCGTTGGGGCCGAGATGGTAACTAATACCGTCGTTCTGATCACACATTTCTGAGCTTCTTTCTTCAACTCAGTGCCACCCGTCCGCAGAAGTTCATTCAAGAAAACACTGTAGCTTGGGCGAATCAGATATTTACCCAATGGCCTGGTCTCTCTCGATATAAAACCATGGAGTATTCTCTTCTATAAATAATAGCTATGGTGAAGACCGTTGTGGTCTGAAAATTTGCACGATTTAAGAGTGGCATCTGAATTTCTCAAGGATCAGGAACAAGTTGCATTACACAGCATTTATTCTCTCTGTGCCGCATGAATTTTAATTCCAATTAAACCGAAAATTCTTGTTACTTAATAACAAAGATTACTCCTTATTGGTCAAGAGAGTGGCTGCCGGGATTTTTCTATCATTAAACAATGCAAAGTAATGTAAATCAAAGTATTTCAGAAATAACTGTTCATTAAAAAAGACTGGGCCTATCTTTCGTCCAGAAATGAACCCAGAAAGAGTCACACAAAGTTGTCTTGTGTGGAAGAAAAGTAAAATTACTAATATAACCATTTAACAGATATATGTCATCTAAAGATTCTTGCGAGAGATGTAAAATATCAAAACATTAAACGCAATGTTAAATTTGGCTAACAGATTTAGACAGACATCAATATGTTTAAATACTTGTTACAAAAATAAATATATTGCTCGATCAATCACGGTAATTAGCTTGTAAGTATTTTCAGTTATCTCTATATCCATAGATATCATCTATTTATTTCTTCAGCCTCGCTCTCTCTAGCAACGCAAGCACACGAAAATGACGTCAACGAGAACACGGTGACGCCATAACTATATGAGATAAAGCCAAAATAAATTACTTTCCCTTGTTCTTGCCGTTATGTTAGCATAATGTTGAAATCCACCAGACGCCATCAGTCTATGTTTAGTTAATAGGGTGCAATGGGTATGAAGTCTGTCAGACTTCTTTGTTGTATGTTTTTGTTAGCTTTTCTGGACTTAACCGTGCACAACATTCAATTTTGAAAGGGAAATCAAGCATCAGAAAGCTCAGAAAAAAAGATTGGAGATCCAGTGGTCAGATTTGAACTCACGACCCTCCGAGTTGTAGATTGGATGCTCCAACCACTGAGCAGCTACCGGAGGTTCTACGGTCAGCAGGGCGAAATTTTAGTACATTATACACCAGCCATAGCTTCTCTATCTTTTTGAAAAACTGACCAATGGAAAAGTTCCATTCATTTCTTCAGTCACAAAGAAAAAATAACACACGATTGTGCACGGTCAGATAGCTCCCAATATAAAGGGCAGCACTATTTTCTTTTTATCTCTTATTTTTGGTGGATTTCATAAACAGTCTCCTCTACTAACACAGTATGATTTATACATGGGCCTTCGTCAGTCAGTAATTAAGAGAGAAACGTAACACATCTAATTATTGATACATGTTCAATCGAACCTCGCGTAGGCTAAATGATCACTAACAAAAGGTTCCAACGAAAGTGCTTTGACTGCCAAAAACTTATTTTGCGAAACGTGGACCACGGCAAAAGACTGTTGGTCACACATTGCTCTATTTCATACCATAGGGGACTGGGAACTAGTCCGTGTATTATGTTATTCAAATTTTACTTATGCTAAATACTTTTGAGTTTCTCATAGGCATCCACCCAAATGGGCCCTTTGCAGACAAACGGTCACATGGTTCACCTTGCTGGATGGCAAACATCGCAATGGGACCTTCAAAAGAAAGGATATTTAGCTTCTTGAATGATGTAATTTCTTTGTTCTTCTTGCCCCTCTGCGCGTCGTTTGCCGTATTCTGCAAAGGGCCTATTACACTTCCAGGAACCAACTAATGAACCAACTGTGAAGTGTTACCAAGTAGGGTATCAGCCGATACCCCGCTTCAAATCACAGAAGGCCCTCAAATTTGATTAGATGATAATAAGTGAATACACATTACTTTAATTATTAATGCGGACATTCACTATTTTCACAGAAACTAAAATGCACCTCGTTCAACCACCAAAATTTTACATAACCATTGTTTCCAATTTTCCTAGGTATTACAGCCGTCCAAACAGAAATTGAAGACAATGGTTACGGAAAATTGGGGCGGAGTGGGGCGAGGTGCATTATGGTCTCAGTGAAAATAGTGAATTGTGTTTTCCTTAGCGACCGTCTTGAATTTTGAGCACGGGTGGTGGGAAGTCTGGAACTAGAATTCTTTTGGGCCTGGAAAATCGGTAGTTCCGCAAAAAACTGTCAGAAGGTCCAATCCGACTACAGAGCGTTTTCACAGGACGTCGCGTTCGCAAAATTTGTGTCCAAATCAATGAACGGCCGCCATGTTGGTGTACAAAACTATTCCTGTGGGAGTTGAACGTATTTGTTAAAACTTTCTTTTGTTCGAATAAATTTGCACAGCTGCTGGACACGTGTATGGTAGGGGCGATCTGCACCCATTTGAAAGATTGTTTGTGATTGGCTGGAAAAACAATAGAGATTGTGACATAACAATGCTCCTATCCCTGAAAACAAGGGAAGTGCAGATTAAAGGGGACCAATCAAATAAGAGGTTTAGAACGGTGCAGGTCTGGAAATGCTCCATAATAAAGTGAAAAGTCCTTCCACATTATAAGAGACAATCTCCGAAGATTTCCGTGTTCCAGACCTCGCACACACTCACTGCAAAATTCAAAATGGCCGCCAAAAGAACAGGCCCCAGTTGTTCTACAGCTGGATTGCGCTATCCACCTGATAAATCATTATCCAGTGGCCTAAGTATTAAGGAAATCAATTGTATTATCCTCTGGAAAGACATTTATCAAGTGGACAGCGCTATCCCGCTTTTGAACAACTGGGGCCAGATTGGCCGTTTCGATAAAGTAAGTAAATTTAAGTTTAAATGAAGATGTGATCGTCGCAGAGGTGCAAATTAACCCGAAAAAATTTCGGGACTTACACTCTCAAACGATCTGAAAGCCCTCTGTATCCGATTTGATAAATTTTTTCCGCTTTCAATTCAACAGCAACTGAGAGCTGCCAAAATCAGTGTTGTAATAGTAAAATAAAATCTAGTATGAAGAGATGGCAAATCAAAAGGCTAATTATAAAACAAAGTTGATATGATAATATTGTGTTCAGTATTAGTACATAGTAATTATAATTACAATTTGTAATTGTAATCAATTGCAATTACAACTGTTATTGTAATTATAACAATTAAACGATACATTGTGTTACATTTCTCTCTAACTTTAAAAAGCAAACAACCAATTAATTAATCGTATTTTAACTACCTACGTTTTGAATCCATGTTTGACAGGATCAGTAGCTCCTTACCCGTTTTATAAGGGGTCCGTCTACCTGCGACAAGGTGCGTGGTCTTCTGGCCAGCAACATGCAATAATCAGCTTGTCAAATGGTTCCCATTCTACACAGTTCTTACCACAAAGTGGCAAAGCATACAAATCGTACTTCCAAACAAGTTCAAGGTCGTTTATTCACAGGGTACTCACTACCATTTTTCTCTCTGCCATTTTTCCCCGTTACAAAAATGTTTCTCAATCGTTAAAATCTCTTGGAGGTCAACTCAGGACGATGAATATCGCAGTCGTCGATAATGTGCACGATCCTTCCATGGACTCAATGTGACGTCACTAAACCACTGATGACGAAATCCCAAAACGTATTCAATCTATCTTTCCCCGACGACATAATCATTACAAACAGATATACCGTAATAGATCCGCATAAATTAAGATTATAAGGCTTCTAATTTAGATAGTCATTAAGGACCACTGCTGTCTGCCAGCATGGCTTTCTCTTGTGCTTTTCGCTTCTCGGATAGAAGTTTTTCCTCTTCGTCGTCTTCGCCGTCATCTCCACCCACCAAAGAAATAAAGCCCCAGGGTGGCTCGTCTTCAAACAACCGACTGATGGCTAGAAGGGCACTGGACACCATAGCAAGGCCAAAGGTGAAGTAAACAAATGTGAGAATAGTGAAAGCAATGACGTAACCCGGGTGATCTTTCTCGTGTTTTGATGGGTGTTGGGGCACATAATCTCCAAAGCCAATCGTACTGAGGGTTATAAATGCAAAATAGACCCCTTCAAAGAATGTCCAACCTTCATAGCTTTTACCAATACCCGCTAGGAGAAGGATCATGCCAGCGACCATAATGAAAATACACGCCACAGTCTTGAGGTATATTCTACGAGGATGTTCCCGTTTGCATATTTTTGTGTCCACAAATTTCCAGAAGTTAGCCAATGTCTCTGTGATTCGTTCGCCAATCGATTTCAGCATTAGACCAGTAATGGGAATTCCAAATATGGCGTAAAATATACAAAATATTCTTCCCCAGACCGTCGATGGGGCCATTTTTCCATAGCCTGCCCAAAAAGTACAAAATTATAGTTACAGTTATGTTGAACGCATTACTTACATGAGGCTACATAACATAAAGACGAATGGAACAGTCACGCCGGTTAGGTCATCCCCCCCCCCCCCCCCCCAACACGGAGGCAGGGAATGGTGTGTTGCGACGGGAAGATATGGTCGAGGCGACGGTGGAGGGGCGGGGTGCGTGTGTCTAGGTGTGTGCGGGTGTGGCTAAGGTGGATGGACGGTGGAGGAGTTGAGAGGGTGTGGTGTGGGGTGTAAGGTTAGGTGTGTGTGCTGCTAAAGGTGGAGGTTAAAATTTCCTCCCCCAGACCGGGGAAGGGCCCATTTTTCCCAAGCCCCCCAAAAAAATAAAAAATTAATTTTCAATTTATGTTGAACACATTACTTAAATGAGGCTAAAAAAAAAAAAAACGAATGGAACAGCCCCGCCGGTTAGGTCACCCCCCCCCCCCCCCACCCCGTTTTGTATTGGGCTTATTTAGCTTCAAGACTTAAAAAAACGTGTTTGTTTCGCTTCAAAGCTTGAGAACTATATATGACAGCGAGAGAACAGGAGGGGTGAATATGCGAGGGAGGTTTGTTTATAGTGGAAAGTGTACTTAGCTTATCCAGCTAGTTTACAGGCACCTCACTCTTTTGGACTAATAATTCTGAAACAAATAATGCAAATATAGAGTGTTTTCACTCACGTGGCCAGCATCTATGCAAATTCATTGGAACAAAAGAAATCGTTTGCATAAGAAAAGAGTTCCACTTCGACAGGATTGGTTTGGGACACCAACATGGCCGCCGTTTCATTGTTTTGGGACATTAATATGGCCACCGTGACGTCATGTGAAAACACTCTATAACATAACAGGATGACCGCTGCATGACAGCTTCCCATCAGTCACAAATGTAAATGCGTCCTGCGGTTAATTATTTTGAAAGTTATCACCATGAATTTTTGAGATCTTGATTATAACTATTGATTATAAGTATTGTTCCAATTCATGACTGGAAATTAAGTTTAAGGTGGCTCGACCCAGTATTTTTGTAAGCAAACCTTTCACCTTTGGACCTCTTATATATAAACAGCTTCGTCTTTATCGTAAAACTATTATAACACATGGATTACACATAGATTGAACTTTAATTTATTATGATATGATTTTTTGGCGATGCGAAGAAATATCACGTGGCAATGATGTCACAATGGCTTTAGCTTTTAATCGAACTACAGTTCTTATACGCATTTTCTCTGAAAATGCTCTAGGCTACGTAAACTTTGGGTGCTTGCCTCCTGCTGTGCAAAGTTTCACACAAATCTATAACAGGAATTTTGAGATATCGTGGAATTTCTATATGAAGGCTATAATTTGCGCGTAAACTGAATACTGGACTATCCAAGCAAATTTACTAATTCCTGGAAAGTTTTACCCCTCATTCTTTTAACTAATTTCCCTTGTACATTCTCCAACCACTAGAGGCAAAGGCGCGGATCTAGAATAAATACTGACCGATTTCCTACTTCTAGAGAGGTCTGGGGCAATGCTCCCCCAGGAAATGTTTTGGATTTTAACTCCCCAAATTCCCCTTTCCTGGGTTGCTGACCAATTCAGACAGGATATTTAGTGACTGTCAAAACCATTTTCCAAATTTCAGCCTGGAAAGTTTCAAATCTTTTACTAAAAACTGAATACATTTATTATGAAAATCTCACCGATTTCCGTAAAACCGTGGAAACCAGTATGGATCCGCGCCTGAGGCAGGTAGACTTGCGCGATTTCGAAAGACAGGAAAGAATATGCACCAGTGTAAAACACAATGCTGAGCATTTTTTGCAATTTGTAAGGCTACTTTCAGGAAAACAGTGATAAAATCAAAATTTGTCGACGGATTTCCTTTAAAAATTTTCAGAGCTGCAATTGATTAGCTTTCTTTACAGTGAATTTTATGACCACTGAAAACTTATATAACTCATAACTTGTTATCCTTATCATTAATATTCTGTAATGCTGTTGTTCAGGCGACAATATATTCGGCTCAACGTTTACATAACCTCAATAAACAGAACTGACTGATGAAACCTTAGTGATGAAACCCCTTTTTAAGTTTGAAAATAAGCAATACTACATTTGTCACGTACGTTGCTTTTAAAACCAAAGTATGGTGTCTTAACTTTAAAATGAAAACGAAAAACAAGACCAATATAGGAATTAATGAAGTTCTGTTAAGTAAGCATAAATTTATGAAAAGGTCAGTTTCAAAAGAAATAATCGTGATTTTAGGTCGGCGCCGAGGTGAAACAGGAAGTTTTGGATCTTTCATTTGGGTAGATAGGAAAATTTGCCGCCGTAAAGATAGCCAAAACTAAGTTTCAAGGGCTAGTCCTTCGTCTGCGAAAATAGAATCTTATTGGGGAAGTAAAAAACTCTCGGGCAATACTTAAATATCAATTACGACTCTTTTCAAGTTTTCTGCCAAGTTTTCTTTCGACAACCCGTTTTTTTTTCCGGGTTATAAAACTCTTTCATTATATTCCTTGAAAACGATCTATACACTGAATCTCCTCAAACAAAAAGACACTTTCGAATATTCAGATTCCTTGATGTTTCCGACATGAAACCATTATCACAGTGATTAGATAGTGATAATTATGTGTTAAAATTTTTCATCTGCAAAGTTATCACATTTTCCTGCTTTGAGATTACTCTCTATTACAGATGATTACCGAAATCATTAACTTGACATCGCACTTCGATTTTCTTTGGATTTCTCCGCTCAACATTCCTAATTTATATATCACTAGAAACTCTACAACAAAATGTATCACCGACAAAGATTTAGCGAGAAAAAAATTAAATCAATGCTCGCTCAGCGGATTTTCATGTATATCTGTATGAGTTTTAGTCTTCATATGCCGGAACTTTAAATACAATTCATTTTTCAAACTTCCTAATAATTCAAGACCCAGATAGAAAGGAAATCATGCGCGGTGACGTATTTGAATATCTGATGAAACACTCCTTATTTCTGCGTCCTTAATTTCCCTATCAAATTACTTTGTTCAAGTTGTATCAAACACTCGAAAAAAAATGTTTTATCACAAAATCAAAAACGTCAAAAATACTCTGCTACACGTTGTATTTTCAACTCTTTCCTCCGTATGTCACACGTGTTCAAACACTGCGTCTGGTGTTTGATATATTAAATATATTTTGGTTGTAAGCTGAAGAAAATCAGTTCTTAAGTTAAGAACTGAAAATCGTTCTTGTTTTTTTCTCAGTACGGTAAAACCCGTATATAAGAGTCTAGTGATTTCAGAACCTACAGGCTAGCATTTGGCATTTAAATACCCAAAAATATAAGAACCAGTTCAACCTGGCAAAGAAAAATAGTTTCTTATACAAAAGAATCACTCCACTTTTGATGGTCAAAATTCTCTATTTAATGGTGTGAGAAACTTCTGACAAAAGTTACTGTGTATATGCCTTCTTTGATTTATATTTGTTTGGATTTTCACTAGACGGATATGTTTTCTCTGACCATTACATTTGTATGTATTAGAAGTACAACATTTCTGCCAATGGTTACACTACGAAAACCTCTGAAAGATAAGAACCTATCAAGAACCTATTCAGTCTGACCTTGAATATTCTAGGTTCTTATATGATTTTTACTGTATTTGCAAGAAAAAAGTTTAGTTTTCCAAACGAAGAGAAACGCTTTGTTCTCGTCAACCAGCAGTGACCTCTGATGGAAACCAGCAATTTCCATCCCCTCACGTAATATATATTTTACTCTTACTATTAGAATCAGAATAGCACATAACTCTCTTCTTGTGGAAGTGTCAAATTATCATGCAAATTACAGTTCGGATGAGTGTAAAGTTTGTTTCTAATTTCTTACGAAAAGAGTAGAGTGTCGGGCACTTAAAATACCCAGGACGAAGAAAGCGTTTTACACTTTTGCGAAAAGTGTGTTGACGGTGTTTAAACTTTTCAAATTGCTACGATAATTAACTACAGGCCCCATTTGTTGAAAGGGCGATTAGCGCTAAACTGGGGTTAAATTTTAGTCTGGGATCCTTTCCGTTTGTTTAAAAGCATTTTCTCGAATAACCTTCCCTATTCTTTATAGAGCATCCGGATCACCAAATTGTAGAGCAAAAGAATTAAACTGAATTTGCTTTTTAAGCATCTATATCTAAATGAAAATTCACACTAACCCTGGGTTATCTTCACCCTGTTTGGGCAACCTAGCCCAGCAGATTACAAGGTGCTGTAACACTAGACAGTTTTTGATGCACTTTGTCTCGTAGTTTTGAAAGGCCGTGGCACAAGACGTTGCACAAGACGTTGTTCAGTTAAGACTTCCTGAAATGAACACGTCTCGCAAAATGTTTTCTGCGCTGATCGTTACAAAAAGTAGAACTTGATAGCCTTATGAACGCATTCTTGTAACAAAAATGTCACGTAACACGTTAAACATATGTTGCAGCAAATTTCAAGATAGGTTACGACAGAATTTGTCTAGTCTACAGGGCCTTTAAATTATAGGTGCGAATATATAACTTGTCCATTCACAAAATTTCAGTAATGGCAAAAATATTGAACAAGTAAATCCTTTTGGGACCATTCAGTTTGATCCTATCACAACAGTATTAATAGAAAATCGAATTGTCCATTTACATTTTAATTATTTCCTTCTCAACGAAGGAGAAAAAAAAGAACCTATAGAACGTTTTGGTAAAAAGCACGGAAGGTAGTCCTCGATGGTATGGCCTACCTTCAAGGTGTAAATTACTTCTAACTACATCTCTTCAACGAAGTCTTATCAAGGGTGGGGTGGGTGGGGGTTAAGGCTAGGTTCGATAAGATTACTACAATCGGCCAAAAACAGTCCAGGGATCGTGATGAGCTTAAGGAACGCAGTAATCAGATGAAAAGCATCCTGAATAATGCCTCAACGATCGCCGATCGCTACATAAACTATCTTCACTGACACCTTTTTACCTATCACGCAGAGATAATAATAATAATAATAATAATAATAATAATAATAATAATAATAATAATAATAATAATAAAGTCTTTATTCATCAAAAGAAAAAAATACATATCTTTTGTTACAAGTAAGTGTAAGAAATTTCAAAAAGGGAAAAAGTAAGAATTAAAAAATCTAGTATATAACATAGCCAATTCATATTTAAAACCTAAACGGTTAATAAAAGAGTTTTTAAAACGAATCTAGTGTTAATAATCTTAGGTTTAAAACAGGTTTCTTTCCTACGATTGTAACCGGACGGTTTAACGCGAGGCATAATAGATAAAAGTGGATGTCCTTTACCATTAGAAACTTTTCTGAAAATTTTACGGTCTTGCCTCTCTAAGAAATCATAAACACTTACAGGCTTAGACGTATATTTCCTTTTAAAACAGCGGTCTCAGAAGCATTGTTGAGGTGTAAGATCGGACTCGGACGCAGCGTAGACAGATAATGCTGATTGGATAGAACTATTGTATTAAAGAGAAGGTCTATTTCTGACTGATTGTACCCCTCTTTGTGCAGCGTTCTAAGGATATGTAGGGATTTGTTAGCTTTAATAAGTTTGTTCTTCACGTGCACTGAAAATTTTCTGTCGCATTGGAAGGTGACCCCCAAAATCTCTACTTCTTTACAGCTTGGTATCATCCCAATAGGTTAATAGAGATCGCGATTGCCTCTGTTTTTGATCATCAACTCTTTGCATAATTTGCTTGGATTGCAAGACGTTCCATTTGTATTCGTCCAATCTGAAGACTGTGACACTAACTGATCGGAGTAGTCTACCTTCTTCCATACAGGAGCAATAATTGTCGAATCATCATCGTACTTAACTAGCGCGTAATGATTACCTAAAGTGATGTTAAGATCATTGAAAAAGATATTGAAAAGGTAAGGACAGCTAACGCTACCTTGAGTTGTCCCTTTGTTAATCGTTTTCCAGTCACACTCATAGTTGTTGCAAGATACCCTTTGTTTTCTATCCTTTAAAAGACGACCAACCGTGAGATCACAAATGTACTGACAGCGGCAGCATGATGTGTCTCCAGTTCTTTGCTGAGTCCGATCTTACTGAATCATAATGAAAACTCAGGGACAAGTATGTTGTTTATCACGTAAAGAACGAGAAGCAAAAAAGGACATAACCGGTAGAAAAAAGAACTAATTTCTCTAGAATTATGTAGTTTAACTTTTGGATAGGACGGAATCAAAATCCATTCCCACCTTTCTAGTCCTGCACGAAATCTTAAAAAATAAATTGTCATTTTTGTGCTATATCACCGAAATTAAATTCTATACTTTGGGACGTTTTATTAACAGTACAGACTACAGGAATTATTATTAAGACTACAAGAATCATCGAGACAGCAGTGCCATAAGATACGATAATACAAGAAACAAACGACTGGATTTTCAATGTCAGCTAATTTGCTCGGTGAAAAGATTGTTGTACAACCGCTATTAGCATTTGCCCTGACGCCTCTGTCTACAGGTTCGTGTGCTAAGCGAACTTGTGGACTGAAGCCGAGCAAAAGTAATTCCATTTTTAGGATATGAGGCAGTTGTGTAAATTCTGCCGTTACGCATTTTTGTGCTTTCACACTAAAATTACTTTTCTATATTTTGCGACGTTTTATCAACAATACAGTCGAAACTGCAGTCTACAAGAACCATCGTAGTGTCATAAGATACGATAATACACGAAACAAATGACTGGATTTTCCACGTCAGCTAATTTGCTCCGTGAAACGATTGCTGTATAGCTACTATTAGTATTTGGCCTGACACTTCTATCTACAGGTTCTTGTGCTAAGCGAACCTGTGGACTGAAGCCGAGTAAAAGTAATTCCATTATTAGGTGATGAGGCAGTTGTGTACATTCTGTTGTTTAATACGCAGAGGTTTTAGTAGTATTAAAGAGCCAAACAACATTTCGTGCATGGCCCTTAGCAGAATGGCCGTTGATTGATTAGAGTAAGCCTTGTAAGTTGTTCATCTACATGATATACAAATGTGGAAAGTTAAATAAATGTCACCTTTTGGAGGTGGGGGGACGCTCTGCCTTGGAAGTCATATTTAGTTTCACTTTGCGACTGCCAATTCTGACTGGAAATTTTCTATAGTTTTACCATCTTCTGAACAGTTTACTTCAGAAATAAATAAAAATTCATCACATTGCAGCCAATAAAGACTGTTTTTATTTGGCATGAAAAGGCCATTGCTGAGGGTAAGAGTTCAAAGCTTTCCGGGTTTAAAACATATGTATCGGAATAAAAGGTCAATAAACATAGATTTCTTTTCCTTTGATTTTAAAAGCTACAAGCTAATAATCATCGCAGTTAAAACAAGTTGAGATGGATTTGGGGTTAAAAAACTACCTGGCCGCCACATAATGAAATAATAATTAAGGAAAACACGCCTTAGGCACAGAAAAGCGTTGAGAATTTTTCATTTTTTACGCCTACTCATTTTTTTCTGATTTTAAGATGCATGATTGGTCCTCTACGCGCATCGGGCCCAAAATTGACGTACAGCCTTTTCTTGAAGAAACAACACAAAAATACAGCTGTATTGTTTTGTTTTGTTTTTGTTCTTAGTTTCGTCCGATGTCGGAGGTACCTGATCTCTCACTAAGTTTCTACCTTCCCACCACAATGATCAAATAAGCAAGACGTTTGACAAAAAGTGCAATGCCTCCTGCTTTGAAAAGGGGATTTACCTTACGTTCAATCGTTTGAACTCGTTATTATCACGTATTTCCTTTTAAGTCCTATATCAAAGGTACATGATCTTCCAGTAAGCCTCTACTTCCCAACTACAATAATCAGCTTAGCAAGAAGTTTACGTTTTGCCGTTGAACTCATTATTATCATGTATTTCCTTTTTAGTTCTATATCGGAGGTACATGATCTGTTAGTAAGTCTCTACTTCCCCGCTACCAATAATCAACTCGCCTTGGAATGATTCTTATTAATGGCCGCGTTTATGGGCTTTCGGTAGGGATTTATTCGACTAAACCTATTGTATATTCTCCTAAAGAGAGATAGCTTTTATATCCTCATATTTATTAAACTGAACGAACGTGAGATGGGTAGCTCCTGCTAAGCTTGTAATCACCTAAAACTTTCTTGATTTACGTCTTACGTAAAAATAAAAACATGTCGGAGAATTAACTGCAATAAAAATTATCTCACGCTGATAATCTAAACGAAGTTGTAGGCCACATAGTTAATGACAAAATTTGTTTCACGGTTCTAAAATAAAATAAAAATATTTAAGGTAGCTGTTAAAAAACCTGGAACAAATCACAAGATTTGCTACCTCTAGTTGAGTTAAAACTCAAATGCTATTATAAAACACCATCAAGCATTCCTGATTCTGATTACAATGATGGAACATTTCTTTAGTTCTTTTTTAGTTTTTACCTCTAAAATACGATTTTTTGGAAGATTTTATTATGTCCTGGCCCAGAGCACATAAAAAACGAATAAACGAATATACATTCTTCAGCGAGAGATCGTGGGTAACGACATTGATCGGACGCCTTCCTTTCTAAGCTGAAAATAAAATACTCAAGCTTGCACGAATACAAACGGTTGGAAGCGTAAATACAAGAGGCAACATAGTCCAAAAATTTAACACAGTGGGCATCGCATCGGCGCCAAGACAAATTACAATCCTCTTTTTCTAGCAGTTTGCATCTTTAATAAGTTTTAAGTTAGTGTGCGAGGGCGTAATCGAGGCGCGAAATATGCAAATCAGGCACATTAACAATAAAGGTGTCTGTATTAGAAATCTCTGACTGAAATAACCGAGTAAACAATATTTCATCTCAATCGTACAAAAGACACCGATAAATTATTTACTCGCAAAGCCGCAGACCCAATTGATTTCAATTATGCCTCGGAATTCACATATTTCCAAATATTTGCACTAGGGAGCCATGATACTTGAGAATAGCATTTGCCTAGCTGGGTGAATTGTACACACATACATTGTAGCACTTCTTTGGAACCATGACAATTGTAATTCAGTTGTCTAAATGGTTTAAGCTCTATAAAGAAACCTGATGACAAATCTATTGTGGTTCGATGTTATCAGCTGAGGTTAATAAAGACGAAGAACCACATTCTAAGATGATAATTTAATACACTAAAAGGCTCCCCCTAGCATTTTTGGTCATTTCAAACCGAAATTAATTTGATTCATATTATAGGAAGCAGAACTTAACAGACTCTAACGCGAAAAAATGGTTTCAACAAGACCTGAACAAAATAAATAGCGAGAAAACTGTGGCAAAGTTTCAACTAGAAACACAAAAGAATTTTGGCGATTCAGGTTGACTGAGATCGATTATACAGCAAATATAGATCGTTATTCAGGCTCTTTTGGCCCGCATCGTATATACAAAACGAAACCATTAGAAATAACTTCTTTCAGCGTTCCGCGGGAGCCGGATGGAAACTCTGATTTTTGTCGAAAAAACATTAATTTCAATAAATTAGAACAAAATAACTAAATGTAATTGTAATATAAACCGGAAAGAATACTTCCACGAAAGATCGTCATGAAATATACAATTCTAAAACAATAAAATAATATGCTGAATTTCGCTACCGACTCTTCCATTAAAGGCGACTTTTGTAGTCTCCTAAAATCACTGACAAGAAACCGATTTACATCGAATGTAAACCAGAAGAGTAGAAGTGGTGATTACCTGATCATGAAGCGGTATAATATAGTGCTCGAAAAATAAACTAAATAACTGTTACAGTGATTTAGTTTCATGCGGTGTTTTTAGAATAAGATTACTTCGTGTAAACTTCAGTTTTCATTCATGGATTGAATATGACCATATTTAAGCAACGATCAACTGAAAAAATATCCAGTTGGCATCTCTGCTAACACAAACGATAAAAAAGGTGTTAATTCTATACGTTCGTTCAGTTTCTACGCCGTTAAGAAAAGTCCAACTCGACAGTTATTTCTGTGTAGGACAAATGGAACTTTCAAGCAATCCTGACTTGCTATCTTTCTAAACGTGAAATAAGCAAAGCCATTTTTAAATTTTTTTCCCTTAAACACGAATCAGTGAGACATATGCAGAAACAAATTCTTAACTGACTTGACACACAGTCCATTAATGAAAGGTAGAAATGTGGAAAATCCACTCGTACGTTAAATTTAGGGATTTTTCGAGACAATTAAGTTCGAAATCAAACAACACAATGCGGAAAAATCACTGATACGTTAAATTTAGCAGTTTCAAAAGAACAAAGATTGGTGCATTTTACTCTATTTGTACGCTGTTTCTACAAAAAGGGGACGAAGGAAACGTGAGATATTGCATTCGTGCGCTGACCGACCTAACTTCGACGATAAATTCATCGAAAGCCAAAAAGACGTTAAAAAACACTTTTAAGACTTAGGCAGGTGTTTTCCTATTAGGAAACAATTTTCGCTATTTTTGTTTTTGTTTATTATAAACATAGCTTGATAGAATGCTGCAAAGAGAACGAACTCTACAACTTCGGCACTGATTCAGAAATATATTGTACACGTATTATATTAAATTCCTAAAAAAAATCACAGGAACTTGCTGATCGAGGGAAGGGGTGCGATCTAACACTCTCCAGCAACAGTTCTAAAACTCTATGATATTGATGGAGAAATATTCAGATTTATTTGATCGGAAGTAGCTATGGCCTTGTAACAAATTGGTTCTCAAGCACACTTTTTGGTTTGATTATTTCTCTTCGAAGACGAATGTTTTTCTTTTCTTTACCAAATTAAGGTAATTTGAAAATAGAAGATATGGGTTTGTATTTATGTAAACGAATCAGATTTCTGTGGAAATATGGCCCAGCAGTCATAGAATAAAGAAACTTGCCCCAGACGGATATTTCACCAATAACATTTGCTCCTCTGTCCATTTGAGAGAAAGAACAATCTGCTTTTGGATAAAATCTCGAATGACATTCATATCTTGATTTGCCTTTCAAGTTGCACGTGTTATAAAATTGTTCAACGGTTTTATTAATTTAATTCTTTTTTTTTTACATCGAACCACTCTTGCTTTTGGTCATATTGTTCGACTGCGCCAAGTTTTACGGAGCTTTTTAATCACCCCTGCCCATAAAGAAGACCCTTTCTACTGCAACAACAAGCAGCTGCTTTTAAAATAAATATACAATCCTTTCTGACGGAAACGATATTACATCGAAGCAAAAAAATGAGAACCTTATTTTTCAGTGATCGACTTAACCCAAGGTTGGAAAATTTCTAAGACCACCAAAGTCTTTGATCGGCGCAATAGTTTCGTGGGTAGAATAAAATATTCATTCGCCGGTAATTTCTATTTCGATAGAAATGACAGATTCACATTTTGAATGGGAAAGCTCAATTTTTTATTTACACGCCTGAAAATAGGCATTTAATGATATCCTTTCTAATTGAGCAGCGAGTACTGTTCTCTAGCGCGATCGAAAGGAGAGAAACTAGATATTTTGCTTTCACTTGGATAAAATTGGATTTTTTTCAAGCAGTGAGAGAAATAAATGAACCTGTACGCTTCTATTGTTTTTTGTCGTCTTGTCCGCTCTAAGTTCATAATCTTTTGATCACTATTTTGCATAATATAGCAGAACCACAGCTTGAGTTAAGAACATTTCGCTTGGTAGCGAAATTAATTCTCAGAAAAAAAGTGAGGCGTACTATTTCGTTTGGAAAAATTGGAAATTACAATTTTCGAATCAGTGGAATGATCCATTTCTAAGTAGGAGCCAATGAACTTCTCGAATGAGCGAACAATCCCACAAAACAAAACAAACTGCTTACATCCGATCAACGTCGGAAACAAATTTTTGAATATTCATATTCGACGCAACATTTTGATCCAAGTCATTTTTTTAATTCCCGACAAAAGGAGGTAGGAATTTTGATCGGTACTTAAATAACAATTTTTGAGCCCGAAGAGAGTGGTTTAATGTCGTAAAGTGTTTGAAAATTTAAAAGTTTATATCAACCAAAAGGCAAACTAAAGTTTCGATCTCACGAGCTTTGGTCGATAATGACCAAACTTTGACAGCAGTAAATCACGATTAGAACATTTATTTTTTCTTTTCTCCATGATAAAGGGAAGATTTCGTTTTCAAGCAACGAGAAATCGAAAAGCAAACATCCAACTAAAATTAAGCACTGCTGCGGGCTGATCGGTCGAACAGTTTTGCTTCCCACAAAGCGGAAAGCCATACGCAAATGTACACACACTAGCGTTGTAACAGAGAGTTAAGACCAGAACCAGAATTGTGAGAGCTCTACGTAGGTTTCTTCGGCATTTTAATGGTACACCGCAAACTAACGCCGACCTTGTAAACTTACGATATAACAACGGACTATATTTCCTGGGTCAAAAGGCAACAAGATAATTTAAACGCATCGCTAAGGCAAACAATGATATGTATATTTTAAGCGGTACAATATTCGGTCATTTCTCTACTCACCAATGGTAGTAACTACCGTCCCAGTGAAGAACAGCGATCCCGCAAAACTCCACCGGTCATAGCCCACGTCAAAATACCCATCGTCGATGGCCTTCGAAATTTCTTCAAAGAGATGATTCATTTCTTCATCGGAAATATTGTACTTCTGTTTCATGTCTTGCTGTACTTTGTCAAAATGATGTATTTCCTTGTGCTCCGCACCTGATTCGATCGTTTGAAACACGGCGGCGCCAAACAGTAAGTAGACCAAGAACAGGGTTGTTCGTAAAACGAGGTTTTTAGTTGGGCCTTTCAGCGCCCTCAGGAAGTTTAAAAAGAAAACCCCCATTTGAGGAGGGAGCAGAGACCGAAGCTTTTACTGCTTGCGGTCGGCGCGGGCCTTAGTTGTTTGTGATGGCCAAATGTGACAACATTCTTTTTTTCTCTTGCACCGGAGGTTTGCCGGGTAGTTTTGTCGACAATCGTTACCTGATAAGCTTGTGACGTCAGACCTCGTAATATTATTGAAGAGCAAAGAATGAATGGCTTGATTAGAGGATATTGTATAGGCAAATTCGGAATATGCCAC